GTTTAGTGTGTTGGGCTAGATTTAGAGAGTCGGTGTTTCTCACTTCGAAAACTTATTGGGGCCATATATATATATATATATATATATATATATATATATATATATATATATATATATATATATATATATATATATATATATAGGGGCCCAAAAAAAAATTCTGCGGGGGGGCCTTTTTTTTCTAGTTCCGCCACTGGTTGAGGGGTGGTCCTAAAATGACGTCACACTCGTGGGAGGTAGGGGGGTCCGTCATTTTGATGGAGGGGGGGGGGGAGAGGGTTCAGATGGTGTGATGTCACACTTTTGCAATATAAAAAAGCAATGTTAGATAATGAGTTTTAGACGTTATTTCGCGATTTAGAAAACTGTTTTAATAAATTGTAATAGGAATTGATTAAAATACTCTATGTTGACAGAATTCAGACAAGATTTTGGAAAAATATCGATGTTTTAAGAAAAAAATCAACTTCAATTTTGAGGCGAGTTGTAGGCTGAGGTGTGACGTCATTTTACGGGGATATTGGTCTGACTTTTGGCAACGATGTGTGACTGAGAGGAGGGGGGGGGGGGGTGGATGGTAAAAAAAAGTCGTCAAAAAAACGTGACGTCATTTTTGGATAACTCCTAAAGTGCCTCGCTCGTATTTCAGTTTGATATTCGCCGTACTAAATTGCCTCGTTCTTATTTCACTGCGATATTCGCCGCGCTAAAGTGCCTCGCTCGTATTTCAATATGATATTCCCCAATAAAAGTGCCTAGTTCATATTTCATTTTTAATATTCGCCCTTCTAAAATGCCTAGTTCGTATTTCATTGTGATATTCGCCGCGCTAAAGTGCCGAGCATCAACACATTTCTGCGGTTTCTACCGTCTGCTGCCGTCATGGCGTGGAGGCAGTGGGCCAAATCTATCTCTCAGCTCATCTCACCTACCATCAAGTTAGCGATCAGCATCTCTGGTTGGTCTCACGGCCGTCCGCGCTATTCTCGTTCCGTGTTACCATCCACTGATGCGAACGGTGATTTCGTCCACCTTCGTTTAGGTTTATCTCTTGTCTGCGCCGTGATCTCTGATACATTCTAGCCGCGCTGGGTCTATTTGAGGCGCTCACGTGACACGTATTTGTGTTCGTAAACAACAACACGAACTAGATATAGACATTTTATTTAAAAAAATATAAAAAATTAGCAACAGCTGTTTTTGGATAGAGAAATTATTTTCTTTTCATCTCCGCGGTAATTTAAGTAACAGATAAATCTGCTACAGAATAAAAAAGGAAAACAACAGGGGGAAGAATTCGATCTGAAAGCAGACGGCGATTATCTCCATGTGAATATAAACGCCGAGCGATTCAGTGAACTCTTATCTAACGTGGACCCCCCCTCGGGGGATCGTTGCAACAGTCACGGGGTGCCACCATGAGCGTGCCCTGGCCGTCAACACAAGAATCTGCTACAAGATCAGACGTACACCACCCGTTAGAAGGAGATGTCAGCGTTAAAAATACGAAGACAGGGGCGTAGTTAGGGTAGAAAACAGAGAAGGGGAAGTAATGCCTATTTGAATAGTATAATTATTTTATACGAAGTGACTACTCGGAAAAAAGATTTTTTCGACAGAAAATACGAGACTCAATAGTTCTGCGCATGCGCAGTGACCTTATAAGTTGCGCTAGGGTTAGGGTTAGGGTTCTGCGGTTTGTTTGTAAACACACGCATGCGCAGTACCACCGAAAACATCGCCGCGAATCGGCTAGAATCGGTCAATTTTATATCCTTCTTCGTTTTAATTTGTAAAATCGGTAGGGATTTCCTCCAACATAATTAAGTATTACGTGACAAAATGTTTTGTGCCAGTTGCCAGTTGATTCCAACTGATTTTCTTCTGGACGGGCTTCCATAGCCTTTGTCCACCGAAGAACAATATGCTAGGTAGCAGTTGTTTGATTTTGAAGATTTCAATCGTCTCTTCTCGATGGATAGGGTTGCCAGACACCTTTTCCGAAAATACTGGACACCTTTCCATCCTTCCCTTCTCAGGTATGCCGCAAAGCAGAAGAAGGGGGGGGGGGGGTAACAGAGTATTATTCATATACTTGTCCAGTATTTATATTTATTTTATCCTGGACAGTCTGCTCAAATACTGGACTGTCCAGTTCAAAACTGGACACCTGGCAACCCTATAGATGGATCAGATAACGAGTATCATCTACCCGGGGTCCGAAACCAGGACTTGCGTTAGCAGTCATAAGCTTCATTGCCCGACAACGGCTTCCCCTATATTATATGTGAGTCTTACAAATTCCGAAGTTGGTTATATATATATATATATATATATATATATATATATGTGTGTGTGTGTGTGTGTGCCTGTATTGGCCGAATATGTTTACGCCACTGTACTGGAGACAGAATACATTGTACCACGTTGACTGGAGAGTTTGAACGTTTAGCACCACATGCGCTAAACGTTTTGTTTTTATGGGACAAATGGTCTTGTCAGATGATTGTTTATTTCTATCCAATCTTTGCGTGTGGTCGTCGTGTTTCTCAGTGGGGTCCGCGCTTAGAAATGTTATTTTTTTTTAGATGTTGTGGTGTATATCCGCGTCATATGGGAGATAAATCCTGCTGTACATTAGCAGGGGCAAGCGTGCATTGACTGTCAGTTATTAATGATGTCAGTGTTTTTTTTTTTGGTAATACATCAGAGAATGTTGTCGTTAGCGTGCATGCAAGGACAGTTCGGCTGTGAATATGCTGGCCGGACAGCAGTCAAAAACTTTTTTCTCTGGTGAGGGAAGGAGGGGGGGGGGGGGGGGAAGAGAGAAAGAAGGGGAGGCAACTGAAACTTAAATTTCCAAGAATGCGGACACTAGTAAAAGTATATTTTCTTTATAAATTATTTTTGTTTCCTATTTCATTTGGTGTGTGTGGGGAGGGGTGAGGGGAGAGGGGTAAATTTACCACTTCCACTCCATCCCCCTCCTGAATAGATTCCTGGTCCGAACAAAAGATTATGCAAAAGGGCGGTGTACTGTAAGGTGACAAGTGATCCAACACAGCCATTGACCAGAAATAGGCCTTAAAATGAAAAATAAAATAAAATAATTGATACAAAGTTGTATAAATAAATAAATAAATAAATAAATATATATATATATATATATATATATATATATATATATATATATATATATATATATATATATATATATATATATATATATATATATATATATATATATATATATCTATAATATAACGCTGCTGGTAGTGTGTCAGTCCTTCCTTCCGTCATCGCTATAGATTTTGGAACCATAAAAGTAAACATTCGCACCATGCTGTGCTTTGCAGTGCACCGCAGTGTCTTATTATAAGTATTAGAGTAGGGTTTGTTTATATAGCGGCATAGAGCTATTTTATAATTGCCACGGTTTTTACTCTTTCGCATAACGTCAAGAAAATATTAAATACACGCAAACTGCTAAATCGTATTAAAAAGATTAATCTCAAATATCATTTTCGTTTAGGCTCCAAGAAAAAGTGGATACATTTTAATAACATAATAACAGCAGGGTAGAAAAATCAAATTAACTTAACTCTTTTCTAATTTTGACAAAGGAGGTAATTTAAAAATACATTAAACTCACGCTAATAAAAAATGTGAATGCAAATATACGTTCGTCATAGAAGGAATTAGTGTTGCAATAATATAATTAGCAAAATGTGAATGCAAATTATTCGGATGTGTAAGAGGAAATTATTGTTAGAAAATTATAATTAGCATGGATTGATATAAGGCAATCTTTTATTTATTTTTTTCACTGAATGTAGCCCTTACTGTTTATTACTTATAATTTTTAATCAACTATTCAGCACTATTATAGACGCGTCATCACGTTCATTAGGTGCGCAATGGTTTTAGTTATGAAACTCTTTTGTAAATTTTTAAAATTTAAAGTACTGGAAAAAAATGCGTGAATGGATAAAGTGAAATAGTGTAGGTAAAACACGGTATTTTAAATACTGCCTATTATTTATACTGTTTTCTAATTATTATTCTATCTTTCGGGTTTTATAGGAGAGGCGTAGCGAGGGGGGGGGGGGCATATGTCCCCGGGTGCCGACCTTAAGGGGCGCCAAAGTGGGTTGGAAAAAATTTGCGAGGGGGGGGGGGTGGAAATCGAAAGTTTTAGGGCGGGTGGGTGGAAGGGGTGCAAATCGAAAGTTTGAGGGGGTTGCAAATCACCGGAAAGGGCGCGATTTGGCGCTACGGCCTAGACTGTGAGCAATTTGCCTTTATGATTGCATTTAAATTGTGTTTATGTTATGAGTGTTGTGTTTGTTTTTTCGTTTTTTTTTTTTTTTTTTTTTTTTTTTGCGTTCGTTTGTTTTGTGTTTAGTTTTGTTCTGTTGGTACATTTAAAAAAGATTTACCGTGGCGGAGCACGGGATGCAGCTAGTATATATATATATATATATATATATATATATATATTATATATATGCGGATGTGTATGTGTGCGTGTATAGAAAAAACTGAACTTTAATGCAAATCAAAATACATTTCTCATAAACTAATAAAAACACGATGTAGCCATCTAAATCCGGTTTTCGAACTTTTATTTTCTTGTTTACTTATCTACCGATGTCTAAAATACGGCTAAAGATTAAGAACCCCCTCACCCCTCCCCGCCACTCCACCATCCAACCCAGTCTCCTCCTAAATCCCCGTTTTCTACAAAGCGCCGACAGGTGAGGGAAAAGTAACGTACGTCGTTTTATCTGCCTTATCAGTTTAATGTAGTGCTCATCTAGGCGAGATTCTGGTTCATCCAGACTTCAATAATTTTTCCGTGATTTAAAAAAAAAAATACAAAATAAATAAAACGAGCGCCGTCGTAAAAAAAAAGTAAAAACATGGGATATTGATATGCGTGCGCACGCAACAGCGGGCGTAAACTTTGACGCACTTGGCTATCTAGGATAAATACATCGTCACATTGTGGTAGCTGAGAAACGCTACGGCCGCTCTGCGCATGTCAGAGAAAGCAGTCGATAAAAAGAACTAGGAACAAGCCGGAGGTAACAGTTCACAGAGGTGCATCCACTTGGCCTCTGTTTTTACCGCTGCAGTGTAGGACTTGAACCACGGCTACCAACAAGTAGACTATAGCGTTTGATGAATTCAGACTACAGTTCTGTGGAAGCCAAGTTACAAAATTATATTTTGTAAAGTTGGAATTTGTGAACAGATTAACTTTTTTTTTCTCCTTGGAGTTAGAAAAATCAAGACCGAACAATGCATCTAAAAAGCGCTCTTTTGAACTGTTTTGTTTTAGGATTCATTTGTACGATGGTAAGCCAAAAACCATGTTTATAGACGTTCTTAATTTATGTCTTTCTACTTTATATTTAATCTTTATGTAGATTACATTATTAAATTTTATTTTTAATTAAAAAAACGTACGCGTGGTTAACGTTTATATTTTATTTATTATTAAAAATATTCCGCTGTTTATATTATAAGATGCGTATTTTGTCAAGAAAAAAATTGTTTAAAATGTTAAAACAAGGAACGGTCGTATGATGTTTATGAACGTGCCTCTCTACTTACATGATGCGCATGTTTGTAAAATAGAATACTAGTGTGTATGGCGACCACTTTAGGCTAAGTATCATACATCGCATCACGTGCGTTTAACAGGAAACAACTACCGATTTAGAAGACAAAAAAAAATTATCAACAAAAACAATTACAGCTTAAGTAATCTCAGTTGTAAAGTAAAACTTGAGACTTGTTTTTGTTTGGTGAAATACAACATGATATGGCTAAATGGGATTAAAGGTTAAGTTTTCATACTGAAAATTCGTGGTATCCCACCTTAATCCCACTCCCTCAAACCAATCTTTTGTTTCCGTTTCTGTATATACCAGCTAGTAGATGTCTTCTTGTTAACAGGTAGTATCAGCTAATCCAGGATCCATCACCTGTATGTAGCGATATGTGTTCTAGGTATGGTTGGCCATTAAATCCGCTAGCCTTAGAATACACATCTCTTCACTTGTACTACACTGATCCTGAAGTGTAAGAGAAAAACAAGTTGACAAGTTAACAAAAAATGTCTACACGGGCTGTGGGGTGAAATTTGTATTTCCTCCATTAATGGTTGTAGAAACTTTGGGGCCTAGCGGTAGACCCTGCGCTTGCGTACCTCAGAGACACGCAGTAGCGTAGCGAGGGGGGGGGGGACATATGTCCCCGGGCGCCGACCTTAGGGAGGGGGGCGCCAAAATGGGTTGGAAAAATAAATTGAAAGGTTTAGGGTGGTGCAAATCGAAAGTTTGAGGGGGGAGGGGTGCAAATCGAAATATTGAAGGGGGGGGGTGCAAATCGAAATCTATAGGGGGGGGGGGGTGCAAATCGAAATCTATAGGGGGGGTGCAAATCGAAAAGTTTGTCCCCGGGCGCCGGTTAGGGTCGCTACGCCTCTGGAGACACGAGTTCGGAAGTCTAGACCACAGGTGGCACCATGAAACAACTGGCCCACACGTTCAACCAGGTGGTGCGATACAGATGGCATCGTTCTTAACCCAGTCTGTCTGGCTAATGAGCACTGATTGAGCCGGCAATGACCGTATTCTAGATACCGTATATAAGAATCGTTAAATGTAATTTCGATCAACATCTCAAGTTAAATTTATGCTCAGTAAAATTGCAACGACTACGTAACCACTAGATAAATGTGAGTTTAGTTTAGTCTAAGAAAAAACCATACAAAAATTTTGCGTTAAATTTTTTATGTTATTTATGTAGCCCACTGTAAGTGATATGACCTAATTCACTTAGACATACACATAGTCTAGTGGCTTAACTCGCACTTGCTAACACGGAAGTAGCGTGTTGGGTACAGGTTAGAGACCCCCCCCCCCCCACATCTTACACTGCCCACCCCTCCCCCACCACCACTCACACACGGTAGTAGCTGATGGTTAAATATGTGCACGATTTGACATCCCTTTGCCCCAGCTAATTATACCCCATCCCATTAGTTTTAGAGCAGGGGTCTCCAAACTTTTCAGTCCGAGGGCCGCATTAACTATCGAATTTCAGTTCGGGGGCCAGTTTCTTCCAGACTTGTCTTTGATTTTTCTGGACAAAGTTCCTCAGCTATCCCAAACAAACGTTTTTTTTTCCATGGACAAAAAGATCTCCGCGGGCCGGATGAGAGGACCTCGGGGGCCGCATGTGGCCCGAGGGCCGTAGTTTGGAGACTCCTGCATTAGAGTATAAGCTTCTGTGTACATTACATAATCCGTTTACTAGAATACACTCTATTGTCCACCTTTGTCCCGACTCTACTTCTCAAATCTCTAACGGGTACCTGACTCTACTCCACCTATCTCTGGCGGGTACCTGACTTTACTAACCCCATCTCTAACTGGTACCTGACTCTACTCCACCTAGCTCTAACATGCCTAGGCGTAATGTTAATCTTTTCCAAAGTTGACAAAAGGTAAACTCTACTTCATCTCTACCATGAAATAAGTCTATCATGTCTGAAATTAAAACTTGTTGTATTTGACAGGTTTACAATGCCGTTTCTCTTTTATTACAATTTTGAACCAGAATTTGAATTGCCTGTCATTACTCATTTTTCACAAGTAGGCCTATGTAGACATACATGATAATATTACGGTGCATTAGCACTAAAGTCCTACCTATTATCTTGTCTTATATAATGGCTTCTGTCCACACTCTCAACCCAATACACTCGAGTCTATACGTCTGACAGCCGCTTCACTGTAATTCTCTTCAGTTATTACATTTCATTCACCAACAATAAGCATAAAGTTCCACCCAATTTAAAAAATGCATAAAAAACGTTTTAATAACAAGTTTTTATGTAATAATGCACTAAAAAGGAGAAAGTAAATGATTATCTTTAAATATATAATAATGAACTATTATTTAGATAACTTAAAAAAAAGAGCCGGGCGCTCTATTATTATGAATTGAATTCCTTTACCAGAATTTAAAAAGCGAACCACAAAAAAATGGTTGATAATTGTCTTACTTATTATGACATGACTTGAAAACTTGTGGTCTGAAAGTCTCTTTAGTCATCCATGAATCAGTAAAAAAACAACTCGTAGACGACTTTCGTTCCGGGTTTCTTTCGGACAATCTTCTATATAAATTATTTATTTTTATCTATTTCGCCCTAGTGGGAGAGGGGGGGGGGGGTCGATGGTCGTGCGCCGGGGCAAGGAAAGGTACCCACCCCCTCCACCCTGAGAGATGCTTACTAGAAATTTGATGTCGTTTCCTAAAGCACCTATCGTTTTAACCCAAGTACAAATATTAATGCAATTAATTAATATCCCGTGGAGAAAAAACAATTGTTATTAGCATTAGCTGAATTCCTTTTAATTAGTAAAACAAATATGTCGGTCTAGTTACTAGAGTACAAGTTCAGCCGTCCCCGCATATGAATACCGTTCTATTAATGCGCCACTAATCACAGCGCCATTACGTGCACTCGATGAAACTGCTGACGGTTTCGCCACTTGCCGAGGCGAACCAAAACACGACGAAACACGTTTCGCATTCCTGACCGCGAAGCCTATCGTCTGCCCAGATAGTGGACGTCAGTCAAAACAACACCGTACGTTTGATGTAGACGCCTTGTATCTAATGGAATTTCTGCTATCTTGGCGTTCAATTTGTTGGTACCTACCTTAATGGTATTCCTGGATTTTAACATCGGACCAGTGGCGAATCTAGGGCGAGGAGGGGGAGGGGAGAGGAGCTAGGGAGGGGAGGGGTGGCCCGCCAATAGTAGTATTATTTTAATAACACCGGGCAGGCAATCAATTGTTAAACTACACAAGTAAATATTCCATTTTATGATTATTGACATGACTTAACAATGTGACCTTCAATTTTTTTTTATAAATAAATCAAAGTTTAAACATTTAAAATTTTTTTTATAATACTCTAATCTGAATACGAAAAATTGCAAAAGTAGAGATAAAAAAACAGAGTAAAAAACATTAGATTTACCTACTTTTAACATAACTTTCATATATTAAGGTAGCACAAATCCTTTGAATTGATAGAAAAAAACAACAACCTAAGAAGGTGTGATATAAGTGCAGCCAACTCCCTATTTTAATACAGTTCTATTCGTGTGCCAAAAAGATTTGAAAAGAGCTTGTTTTAAAACGGTACATAATGAAAAATTGAGCAATTCAACACGTTGAAGTATGAAAAGTTGAGTAATTTAACTCCGTGATTTATGAACATTTGAATAGTTTAACACGGAGATGAGTGAAAAGTTGAGTAATTTAAACAGTATAAAAAGTTGAGTAATTTAAAACAGTATAAAACGTTGAGTAATTTAAAACAGTATACAAAGTTGAGTAATTTAAAACAGTATAAAAAGTTGAGTAATTTAAAACAGTATAAAACGTTGAGTAATTTAAAACAGTATTAAAAGTTGAGTAATTTAAAACAGTATAAAACGTTGAGTAATTTAAAACAGTATAAAAAGTTGAGTAATTTAAAACAGTATAAAACGTTGAGTAATTTAAAACAGTATAACAAGTTAAGTAATATAACACCGTGATAAATGAATAACAAATTAATTTAATCCCCCAGAGCCCCCTCAGTCCCAGACCATCACAAATGTGGTTGGACGGAGGGTGGGGGGTGGGGGAGCCTATCCGTATAGCACTCTCGGTCAATCCACTTGAAGTCTCTGTCCCCACAAAGTTTTGTAGCCCTGACCTAGGGTGATTTGGGGGGGGGGGGGGGGAATCCGTATAGCACTTTCGGTCAATCCACTTGAAGTCTCTGTCCCCACAAAGTTTTGTAGCCCTGACCTAGGGTGATTGGGGGGGGGGGGGGGCAATCCGTATAGCACTCTCGGTCAATCCACTTGAAGTCTCTGTCCCCACAAAGTTCTGTATCCCTGGCCTAGGGTGATACCCACTGTAAAAGGCGCTAGTTGACCCGGTAGAAACACATTGAAACCAAATGGTCCATTTAATCTCCCCAGGTGGACTCTACGTCCTACAGACTCAAGCCCGGAATCCGAACACGAGACTTTTCTGTAAGCAATCCCGACCGCGCCGTAACTCTTTAACCACGTTTTGCGAGAAACAAAAATTCGAAGTGGCTACTCGGAAAAAAGATGTTTCGGCAGAAAATACGAAACTTAATAGTTCTGCGCTTGCGCAGTGTCCTTGATAGCTGAGCTAGTGCTAGTGCTAGTGCTAGGGCTAGGGCTAGGGCTAGGGTTAGGGTTAGGGTTAGGGTTAGGGTTAGGGTTAGGGTTAGGGTTAGGGTTAGGGTTAGGGTTAGGGTTAGGGTTAGGGTTAGGGTTAGGGTTCTGCGGTTTGTTTGTAAACACACGCATGCGAAGTACTATCGAAAACATTGCAGCGAATGAAGGTGGTAGTTTCTCTCCGTTGCGCATGCGTATCTTTTTCCAGCTAGAATCAGCCAAAACAATTAGCACGGGAGGATAGTTTGGCCGAGGGAGCACAAATTGTTACCGACTTCTAGCCATGGTATGACTGAGAAAAATATGCAACACTTTATTTTATAAGCCATTTCACCCCCCACAGGTCAGATGTAACGTGATTGTGAGCACTGACTCGACCGTTGACACAACGCAACCACCCAGTGAAACAACCCAACCACCCAGCGGAACAGCACAGCCAACCAGCGGGCCATCCCAACCAAGCTCTGGGCCATCACAGCCAACCACTGATACCAGCGGCTACGAATCAGCTGAAACTTTAGAAGGTTTCCTGACGCTGTTTGCTAATGACTCCAAGCCACAAGAGAGTAAAGTTTTTTTAATAATTTTTTTTTAAATAAGAAAATGTATGATATCCTCATGATACATTTTGTCATAAGTTAGAATTGTCATAAGTTGTCAGGCTTTGGTATTGCAATCTTCTATGTCAGTAATTACTATTGTCCTAACGATAAGCTCTATTTGGACTGCAGATTACATAACGTATGCACTAGTCTTATCATGATTCACGTGACAGGTTTTTTTTCCTTTCGCCTGGAAGAGTTCCAAAACAATGTAATGCATTCGATAAGATTTTCTTACTCTTGTTGTCACTTGTCACTATTGATTATGTTTGATATCTGTAGCACATTCAACAGAGGCGACCGAGTTGACGATAATCCTTCCATCATATTGTTGACATGGATTAAAAACGTGTTCTTTTTTTAGATTTTGCAATCAAAGCGACCGTAAAAACAATAAAAATTAAAAACTTAAGTCTAAATAATTCAGAAATTTAATATTTTTAGAATCAATGTTATAAAAGTTGCAAATCCAGAGAACTTGAAAATAATTTTTTGAGTTTAAGGCTACATTTGTTTTAATTCAGCAGGCTTAAGTTATAACCCGATGTTTCACTTTCGTAAGACAAACATTGATTGGCTGTATAGGAACTCCGTGATCGATTTCTGACAGCCCCACTTCATAGTTTTTTGTTTACAAAATTTTACAGATTAAGTTTTTAAATAACAATGCAAATTTAAACCACAAGACCTAGTTCTGATATTTTTACATTCTCGTATACAAAGTATAAAGAAAGTATTGTAATCGTGAAAAAAAAAATTCGAGATTTTTTCAAATCTTGTCCGTATGTCTCTCTCTCTCTCTCTCTCTCTCTCTCTCTGTGTGTGTGTGTGTGTGTGCGTGTGTCTGTAAACACGATAACTTGAGTCAGTGGCGGAACTAGAAAAAAAGGGCCACCCCGCAAAAAAATTTTTTAGGCCCCCTCCCCATATATATATATATATATATATATATATATATATATATATATATATATATATATATATATATATATATATATATATATATATATATATATATATATATATATCTATATAGGCCTATATATGAAATATATATATATATATATATATATATATATATATATATATATATATATATATATATATATATATATATATATATATAATCACGAATTACGAACATAGGATACTTATTGCTGACCTGTTCGAAATTTGAAAAAAAAATCGATTAAAAAAAATTTCAACATCATGTCATGTGTGCAAGTGCATTAGTGTGTTTTGTGAAAATCAGTATTAATTAACTTCTGATAGAAGTCTGCTTAATAACTAGTTGGTCAAAATAATATAAAACATGAAAGCTTTGTATAAGTAATGGTGTCTCGTGTTATGTTTATTTTTATGTTTTTTTTTGTATTTATATTATAATTTTTAAAAATATTATTGATTTAATACACTTTCTTTTTTATACAATGTCATTCTTTAGTAATTACTTTATTTTAAAAATAATAATTAGAGAAGTAATTGCTTTTTAATTTGTTTAGTACAAATCTATTAAAAGGAGCTTATGATCACCCCTATTTGACTATTTTAAAAAAAGAGAAATAAGTCATGAAAGTGGTTTGAACATTTGCTTATCTTTGATACGTTTAATCGAATGAGAAGGACTCGGCTTTCACAGTGGTTTAAAAACAAAGGGAAACAGAATATACAAGAGCGTGGGGTGGTGTCTATTGAATAAAAATAATCCAACCGCAGTTACGGTAATTTTTTACAAAACAACCATTATGTCAAAAATGAAAGAAAATTTACTTTTTTTAACTATGAAAAAAATTATTATGGTCGGCTCTGGGTCCCTAAATGGCGTGGGCCCCCCCCGCATTGCGGGGTCTGGCGGCACTGTAGTTCCGCCCCTGACTTGAGTACCGTTACAGCTAGGTTGATGAAATTGCTTTCAAGTATTATATCAAATTTGTAGATCCGTATGAACTTTTCAGCGATTTCCGATAACCGGAAGTGGAACTTTTTCTACTTTCAATTTTTCAAAAGCCTAAAACTTGAGTACTATTGCAGATATTTAAATGAAATTTCACATGTAAGTAAAAGATCTAATTCTCTGCACTCTTTCAAATTTTGAGTAATTTCCATTGACCGGAGTTAGTAATTTAGGCTATTTCCGATTTCTTAAAAACGCATGTGAATTTATAAAGTACTATTAATATTCCGCACAATTATACACATTTTATTTGGCGTTTACTTGGTGCGCAATTCTTTTTAGTACGAGATTCTATTCTATTTTAAAAAGTTTAAGTAATTAAAAATGGATTTAAAATATTGTCTATATCCCAAGTTGCCATCCCAGTTTTATATAAGAATAGTCGATAACGTTTACGGGAGATCACTCCCGGTTTATTTTGCTTACTAGCCTATTGAAACGCAGGATGCCATCGTTTATACCCGCCATTACACATGGAAACCATATTGTTTTTGCTTTTTTTACATTTCTTATTTATTTACCGAAAATATTTTAAAATAAACATCAAATACATTCAATCTTTAGTAAAATCCGAAAAAAAACCCCAAACAGATAGGATTTTATAACCTATATTAATTTAAACTACGCCGTGCATAATTAATATCTGATCATAAGACCTAACACTAACCCTAGCACTTACTTCAGACAACAGACCTAACCCCAACAACCCAACCCCTGCACTCTAGCCTGTACCACCACACTTGGAGCATTTAACACGCCCCCACTCACACACGTGTTTTAGGCTCGCCGTTTTACTCACTCCCAAGGCCGCTTGGTGTCACCAACCAAACTCGCGGCTCATTAATCAAAACTCACCACTCGCATGTGCTCGGATGACGTAAGTTCCCAGGCGTGTGAAAAAAATGGTTGTGTTGACAGAAAACGCTGGGAATATTTTCGCATCGTTTGCACACTTATAAAGTGTGCACCTTGGTGGTGATGCTATTTTTAGCCGTGAGCAACTTTGTAAACAATCGAAATGGTCTAAGTGGGGATGAATAAGTGGGGGCAGCACGCAGTGTCCACCAAAGCCACCGCTAGTGTGGGATTAATCCTGTATTTGTGTCACATCGAGGTTTTACGTGGTGTACGGAAACTGTCTTACATTAAAAACAAGTTAATTAAAAAGTCTAGTGACAATTTTAGCGCAATTTCCTTATGTTATCTAAAAATAGCTCTGTCGTAGCGTAAATCAAGAGCAGGGTTAGTAAAACCATTGGTTAGTTATTAAAACGTTTTTATTAAAAAAAAATTTCAGTATTTTACATGTTTTATTTACAATAGAGTTACATGACTAAAAACCATTGCGCGCCTAGATACTGAACGTGATGACGAAACCATAGAACGTGATGGTGCAGCTATTGAACGTGATGACGCGTGTGGTGTGGTTGGAAAAAATGCCTACTAATTCGGTCCAAATTTTAATTAATTCAAAAAATTTTTTGTGACCGAACGAAAGGATATTTTTGAAAACTTTCTTCGGCAATATTGTTCTAAATTATGGCAGGAATCGATTGGTACATATTTCAAGTCGCTAAGTGGTCTGGTTGCCGAGATATGGGCAAAAAACTGCATTTTTTCGAGGTTTTTTGGCTTTTCCTGGAAATACATGAAAGAAACCCGGAATTTTTATGGCCTATGTTCATTCTCGTAACTTGCTTAACATAATTGCTTTTGGAACTAGTCATCGATATTGCTTCGTTGAGGAGGAGATACGACTTAAAGCCCGGACACACATTCATACATCCATACATTCATAGATTCATCCATCCATTCCCAGAAATGACGAGTTAATAAACGCAATTCTCCAGAATGGAAATTGCGCTAAAAACATTAAAGAAAATATGTCTCTGACCAGAGCGTCTTCCCTTGATCGATTTATAAGTTGATTGTTGGCTAATTATAAAACAAATAACTTATAAAAATAACAAATTGACACAGAATAAACGTGTTCTTATTATATTTATCTTGCTTTCTCTGTCGTCAGTCTGTCGACAGTCTGTTTGACGATAGTCTCGAATTTTTTTTTGTTAAAGTCTGGAATGGTCATGAAGTAATTCCCTTGTTACCTTTAGACTTAGGCCTTTTAGAAATACAATATAGATCTAATTTTATTAGACCTACAGTAAAATGAACTCCGTGGTGTTTTTTTTTACTCTACGTCGCACTAATTCATTTTAAAAAGTTAAAAACAACCACGTAAATATAAGATATTCTCCGTCATCAATCATGTGGACACAGGCAAAACATCGGGACTCTACCACATCTCCCCATCGTATTTGGTTCTAGGCTAGTCCTACAAGTTGAGTCCATGACATTCCGGCAGCTTTTGCTTCACTATCAATTGATCTTTTTAAAGTTTGATGTGACTCATAGCTTTTTAAAAATACATATATATATTTATATACAATTTAATGAACACCATATTTTTTTTGGTTTCAGTTTCATATAGTTTTGACAACGCTACAGGCAAGGCCGTCATTTCAGGTATTATATCTACATAACAAATTTTAGACATATTGAACATAATAAGCATTACAAATATATATATATATATATATATATATATATATATATATATATATATATATATATATATATATATATATATATATATATATATATAGTATATTTATATTTAATGTATAATTTTATGTATGTGAGGTGTGGTTAATTGGAGGGCGTGGGCGTATGGTAGAGCACTCGATTTTTGACCTTCTAAAGAGCCAAGTAGTGCAAATAATAACTTGGTGATAGAAATGATAAAGGAGTGGTATTTTTTAACGTCTAGTTTTAAAAAGGTTTATGAAAAAGTCTAATTGTATACATATGTTACTCTTTAGCTTGTAGCACTCACTAGATTTAACCATACCTTTAGCTGCCGGTGGTAGACTAGCAGAGTCAGACGACTGCTCTCCACGACCTACTACTGTGAGGATTGAAGTACCGCTAGACAACCCGAGGGTACGGTACTTTCCCTTGTGTACCCGAATAGAACGATGTGGGGGTTGTACGGCCACGCCCAACGTGGCGTGTGTCCCCACCTATGTGGAGCGCGTCAGCTACAAGGTGAGTCCGCTATAGTTAATGCGAGGTAACTAGCATATCTGTATAGAGCGTGTTAGCAACATGAGTCCGCCATTTTTAACGCGAGGTAACTAACACACAGGCATAGCGCGGGCCAGCTACAAAGTGAGTTCGTTATAGTTAATGCGAGGTAACCAAGATATATGTATAGAGCGGGTCAACTAAATAGTGAGTCCGACATTTTTAACGCGAGGTAACTAACACACAGGTATAGCGCGGGCCAGCTACAAAGTGAGTTCACCATAGTTAATGCGAGGTAACTAACATATATATATATATATATATATATATATATATATATATATATATATATATATATATATATATATATATATATATATATATATAGAGAGAGAGAGAGAGAGAGAGAGAGAGAGAGAGAGAGAGAGAGAGAGCGGGTCAGCTACACAGCGAGTCCGCCACTTTTATGGGATGTTATTAAAAGTTTGTTTTAAACTAATTTTCTAAATTCGAATACATTTTACAGTGCATTTTTGTTACAACTGAGAAAAAAATTCAACATTTACAAGTAGGTCTAATGTATATCTCGAGTATTTCAATCACCTCTTCATTTCCCCAGGTGTTGAAAGGGGAATACCCGTACGACGGCGCCCAACATCTCATGTTCCCAGGGTACGCCAATGTCGTCATCGAGCGTCACGTCACCTGCAGAGTCCAGTGCATGCTCAACGCGGAAAAGTGCGGCCCCGGCAAGTCGTTTGACTCCTACAGGTGCAGCTGCCAGTGCCTGGACATCCGCAGGTGCGAGCCGCCATTTTTCTTCGACCCGGAGACGTGCCGGTGTAGTTGTGGTCCAGTCAACTGCTGCCCCGCGGGTCAGGCCACGCCCTGTCGTCTGGTTGTGAATAACAGCACGTGCCTGTGAGTTGGTACTATGTAATATATATATATATATATATATATATATATATATATATATATATATATATATATATATATATATATATATATATATATATATATATATATAAAAGCCTAAAAATCAAGATCTTTTAAATGTCAATTTTAAATGGACTTTTTCATTAGATTAATCGTTGAAGCAGAAACAGTCACATTGGAGTAGTTTGTCCCCTTAGAATGCTTTGAACTCCAATTTTTATTCATCATATAAATTAGTCTTACATTTTTAATGGTATTTTTCTTTATCCCCTTACTTCATGTTCATAAAATGTACAGTTTTCATTGATAAATATAGTTAGAAATGTTAGTTTGCAGGATTCAATACGTCAAAAATTAAAACATGCATTTTTGGGGGCGGGGGGGGGGGGGGGGGGGGTTGGGTGTGTGTGTGTGGGGGGGGGATAAATACCCTTTTAAAACAGCACAAATTAAACTCCAATTTCATCTATCGGTTTTATAAGTTGACCTGCTTTCCTCACACTGTTACCTGCGTACTTTATAATTCATAGGTGTGACATCGACAACAGAATTCACATCAGCACCGGCAACAGCAACGGCAACAGTTCGTCGCTTCAGGTAGTTCACAACGTCCCGGCGGAGACGACGCCACCACCAGCAACCCCGAGCACCACAACCGCAACATCATCAGCCAACGACCCCTGCGCGACATACCCCTGCCCACCACGCACCTCCAAATATCTCACCCCACAAGGCTTATGTAGCTGCCGATTGGATCGCCCCCGACCCCCATTGCGAAGAAACTAAAATTATCTCAAACTTCGCAACATCAACATCAAGCATTGGTTGTCGGCTTCAACACGCCTTCAAAAACATTATATATTTTTCTGCGATAAAAAAAAAGTGAAAAATATTTTCTTAATATATTGGACACCAAATAACTGAAAAAACAAAACAAAACAAAGCTGTTCTTTAATTCGTTTGCCCAAGCTGATGATTAGCCAACGTTTGCCAAACGTGTTATGTAAATTATGCATGCCAATCTGACGATTAACATTGACAAAGAAAAAGTTCAAAAAGTTTTTTTTTAATTAATGATAACTAATGAACTTTTTCTGATATGTTTCAAAATAAAACTAAATATTTATAGCAATGCTTTTTTCGTGTGTCTGAAAAAATGCTGAGTAAATTAAATTGAAAACTAAAAAATTTTTTTTCGTAAAATGAAAAAAAAAAAGTTTCGTTGCTATTTTGTTGGATATCTTTTTATGTAAGGGGAAGCTACCTGATAATTTTGAAAATACTTCCAAGACACCAATTGACCTGGAATATTGAACGGACCCTCAGACCAACACGAAGAAGCTAAAAATAGCCGAGAATGAGAAACTGACCACGAGTGACCACCAAAGTGTAGTGTTTTTTTTAAAGGCTTTGACAACAAGCAATGACATTATTTGAGTATTATACACTATACTTTAACACACATTATATTAGAGTAGTTTGTTTGGGAACAGTTTGGAAGGTGATCTACATTAAAGGGAAGCGACTCTTTAAAAAAAGATGGCGTGTCAACAACTAGATCTTTCTATTCGTTGGCTTACACATTTATATGTATTTAAAAGCTTGACGTGAAAACGCTCTACATATCAATTTAAAAAAAATAATTAAAGCGAGGTGAATTACTACAGTCTCGACAATTTGTATGCGCTAGGAGGCACCTCGTGTGATTTCTATTCGCACAAACACTTTTAAAAAATCAATGCTTTAATGTTTTAAAAATACTTTTCTTGAAAAAATACAATAGAAAATAAAAAATAGAACACTCCAAAACTAACGCCCAATCTATCTACATGTTAGTTTTAAATGGTAATTTAAAAAATATTTTAAAATAAAAGATATATAAAAGCGTTCAATATAACAAATGTCCATGAATGCACTTAAAAGAGTAAAATAAATTGATTTTTTACAAGCTTTTATTTACCTTGCTTCCGCTGTCGTCATGTTTGTCGACATTGATCGAAACTGCCGAGTATAATTTCGAGCACTTCTAACTGACTGATTCTTTTCAAACTTGGCACGTGGGTCAAGACCCAAATGACAATACAATCTGACATTTGACCTAGATGGATGATTAATTATTGTTTTATGAATTAATTTTAATTTTCTGAAATTAGTAGGGTGACTTACTACTATTCCGCACTATTATACGTGCGTTATCATGTTCATTTGGTGTGCATTTTTGCATTTTTTGCGCTTTTTTTTTGCAGTTTTTAGTCATAAAACTCTATTGTATTTAAAAAGTTTACTGAAGAAAAATGCATATAAAACGTTTTAATAACAAGCTTTTATGTCATGATGCACTAAAAAAGAGAACATAAATGATTTTCTTTAAATATATAATAATACACTACTATTTAAATAACTATAAAGAAAAGCGTGGGTCACTTAAGTACCTATTGGATACCTTTACTTATATTTGAGAAGAGACTTTATAGTTATTTAAATAGTAGTGTATAATTTATTTTCTACTTTTTAGTGCATTATTACATAAAAGCTTGTTATTAAAACGTTTTTTTATGAATTTTTTTTCAGTACTTTACATGTTTTATTTACAATAGTTACATGACTAAAAACCATTGTCAAGTTTATAGCTAAAGTTTAAGTAAGGTATTATGGTATGGCGTAGTCTAGTGGTAAAGAACTAGACTGCTGACCCGACTAAAAACCATCGCGCGCCTATTGAACGTGATGACGCGCTTTTGTCGTAAAGCACCCACTCGCTCCACGCCCAATACGGCCGTGATGAGGCGTGTGGATAGAACTGCCTACTAATTCGGTCCAAATTTTAATTAAAGTCAAATTGAATGTCACGATGCATTGTCTTCATGTTTTGACCCACTTACCAACTACGAACCGTACCTGTCAGTTAGAAGTGCCTGCAATTTCACACTGGCGTTTCGATCTGGACAGACAGACAGACAGACAGACAGACAGACAGACAGACAGACAGACAGACAGACAGACAGACAGACAGACAGACAGACAGACAGACAGACAGACAGACAGACAGACAGACAGACAGACAGACAGACAGACAGACAGACAGACAGACAGACAGACAGACAGACAGACAGACAGACAGACAGACAGACAGACAGACAGACAGACAGACAGACAGACAGACAGACAGACAGACAGACAGACAGACAGACAGACAGACAGACAGACAGACAGACAGACAGACAGACAGACAGACAGACAGACAGACAGACAGACAGACAGACAGACAGACAGACAGACAGACAGACAGACAGACAGACAGACAGACAGACAGACAGACAGACAGACAGACAGACAGACAGACAGACAGACAGACAGACAGACAGACAGACAGACAGACAGACAGACAGACAGACAGACAGACAGACAGACAGACAGACAGACAGACAGACAGACAGACAGACAGACAGACAGACAGACAGACAGACAGACAGACAGACAGACAGACAGACAGACAGACAGACAGACAGACAGACAGACAGACAGACAGACAGACAGACAGACAGACAGACAGACAGACAGACAGACAGACAGACAGACAGACAGACAGACAGACAGACAGACAGACAGACAGACAGACAGACAGACAGACAGACAGACAGACAGACAGACAGACAGACAGACAGACAGACAGACAGACAGACAGACAGACAGACAGACAGACAGACAGACAGACAGACAGACAGACAGACAGACAGACAGACAGACAGACAGACAGACAGACAGACAGACAGACAGACAGACAGACAGACAGACAGACAGACAGACAGACAGACAGACAGACAGACAGACAGACAGACAGACAGACAGACAGACAGACAGACAGACAGACAGACAGACAGACAGACAGACAGACAGACAGACAGACAGACAGACAGACAGACAGACAGACAGACAGACAGACAGACAGACAGACAGACAGACAGACAGAGGAAGCAAGTTAAATAAAAGCTTGTAAAAACGCATCACGCGACAGCCGCAATTATTTAAAAGGGAGACAACTGGACATTAAAAATAAAACCATAAAGAGAATAAGTTTGGGATCTTTATAATGGAGATGGGGCATCATTCAACGCCGATATAATGCGTTTTAAAAACATCTGTTGGCAGTTTAATATAAAAGCTTCTTAGCGTGAAATTAAAAAAAAAGCAAGGATGTTTAAATAACTCACACAGGATTCATACTACGAAGCTGTAGCCTCTTTTATTTGATCAATACACACTACAGTTTGTTGCAGTAATTGATATTTGAAGTCAATAACCCCTTAATGGGGGGGGGGGAGTAGGGCTGCCATCTTGGGCCCCAGGTTATGTGAGCTGAAATATCATAGCTTCAAGTTTGAGCTAAAATATCATAACTTCAAGTTTGAGCTAAAATATCATAACTTCAAGTTTGAGCTAAAATATCATAACTTCAAGTATGAGCTGAATTATCACAACAGCAAGTATGAGAGTAGAATTATATTGTTGAACGAAACAGAGAAAGAAAAAAAAGCACAGGATTCGAAAGTCTTTCAGTGACAACGGTCTGTTTTTCGTACACCTATCAAAAAACTATTTTTTATTTCAAGGAGATAAAACATTTGAAAGTTTACCAAAAATATTTCCTCCTCTCTAGAATACAGTTCTATAAAAGCTGATCACGAATTTATCGAGATTTGAATATGTTCAGCTATACAATGTATATTTATTAAAGGACGTACACAGGCTATTGAATCTGTTGTAGCCAAAGAGTGGAGATAATACTATTCTTATTACGAGAACGGGATTATTTTGACTAGGTCACATTTTTGTTTTATGATTTGATCTATTAATTATGAAAAGTAAGTGTCATTTTAGACCAGAAAGATCAATCCAGTTCATCTCTCATGTTCTGAAAGTATTGTGTGGGCATTATATCTCCACTATCCCTTATTTAATAAACCGGGAGTGATCTCCCCTAAACTTTCTCGAATATTCTTATATAAAATAACAGGGGATGGGAACTCGGGCTATAGACATGATTTTTAATCCATTTTAAATACTTAAAATTTTAAAAATAGAATAAAATCTCGTAAACAAATTAATTGCACACCAAGTGAACGCCAAATAAAAAAGTGCATAATAGTGCGCAATATTATTAGTACTTTAAAAATTTACATTAGTTTTTTGAGAAATCGGAAGTAGCGTAAATTACTACTTCCGGTCAATGGAAATTACTCAAAATTTAACAGAAGGTAGAGAATTAGATCTTTTACTTACATGTGAAATTTCATTTATCTATCTGAAATAGTACTCAAGTTATAGGCTTTTGAAAAATTCAAAGTAGAAAAAGTACCACTTCTGGTTATCGGAAATCGCTCAAAAGTTGATACGGATCTACGATTTTAATAAAATACTTATATATGAAATTTCATCAACCCAGCTGTAACGGTACTCAAGTTATCGTGTTTACACACGGACAGACAGACACACAGACATACGGACAGAATTGCAAAGCCCAGTTTTTCAGACTGGATTACGCATAAAACCTCTTAATTTTGATAAATCTGGATTGATAATTTTTGCCCGATTAAAATAAGTCCTCTATACTTCGGATGTGATGAAGGACTGAGGTGTAATACGGTGAAAATTGTTAAAATTTCAAGTGATTTTTGTTCACGATTACAATACTTTCTCTATACTTCGTATATACGAGAAAGTAAAAAGTACTAAGTGAAGCGCTTATGACTTGGTACGGAGACCAAACTCTATAACCTACTTTCAGGAATATTTAATAGATTCGAGCAAATATCACCTTAATTTACCCGTGTAAATTTTTATACTGGAAACAAATGAAATGTTTTAAACATAATCATGCCAAAATAAATTATAAAGAAGCAGCTGTCATAATGTAAAAGCATGCATCATTAAAACGATTTCTAACAAGAATGCATAATTTAGTATAAATAGTGCTAAAATTGTTTCGCTGTTTATGCCGATTGTTTCTAGCCTCCGATTCTTTTGTGTATAGTCTGGTTTGAAATAAAGTGTTATAATACGCGAGAACAGGGCATTACTCCCCCGTCAATTACCCCCCCCCCCCTCCGTCAATAACCCTCCTGTCAATTACCCCCAGCTCAGTAGGACATTACTCCCGGACAGGGTTAGGGCTAGGGCTGGGGCTAGGGCTTGGGCTAGGGTTAGGGTTGGGGGTTGGGGGTTGGGGATTGGGGGTTGGGGGTTGAGGGTTGAGGGTTGGGGTTAGAGTTAGGGTTAGGGTTGGGTTTAGAGATAAGGTTAGGGTTATGGTTAGGGCATGTCTATGGCTAGGGTTAGGGTTAGGCTTTAAAAACAATGTCTAGCATTGGTTTTGGTTTTGGTTTTGCGTTAAGTTTTAGGCTGAGGTGAGTGCTTAGGTTTTGCTCTTTTTCTTAAGGTTAGGATTAAGGTAATATATAAGTATAGAATTTGAGTTTGAATTAGGATTCTAACTTGAGAAGGGGGGGGGGGGAGTAATTCCCCGGGGGGTGTGGGTTAATTGAAAGGGGGTAATTGCTCCAGGGAGTAAATACGGGGGGGGGAGTAATTGACGGGGGTGGGGGGGGTGGAGGGTAATGTTCTGTAGCCATGATAAGCATACAGTTAAATGTTTTCTGTTATATAAATAACGTGCTAACAAAAAAAAAAAACCGCGGTGGATGGATCTGATATTAGGAGTAAGATTTTCGTAGTGTATTTTGATTGAAGTGAAATTTAAAACTCTATTAGGTGTATATATTGTGAAAGCTCTTTCTTTTCTCATTGAGATATTTTTCCTTTCGGATATTGTGTTCGTAAGATCTTTTAACCACATGCAATTTTTACCAGAGTAGAAGCAAAAAAGACTAGATACCAGCCATTTAGTTTGAACGTATAAAGTTTCCTCTTTGCCAACTGATTTAAATCTATTCATTGATTTATATTTTTTTTTTGAATTAGTCGCTGGCTTAGGAGAAGAGGTATTTATTTAAATAAATTTAGGCTGTTGACCCATCTAAGTTTGATAATTTAAGTAGCTCGGCTTAGCCTAATACATTAAAATAAACGTTTTTTTTCCAACACCTTGTTGTAGAAGCTGCGGACCACTAGTGACGTACTTACCGTAAAGCTAGCGTAAGCAAGACATAGGGGCTCAAGGTACATAGGGGCCCTTAACTCTCTAAAATAAACCGGGAGTGATCTCCCCTAAACTTTCTCGTATATTCTTATATAACTTGGAATATAGACATGATTTTTAATTATTTAAACTTTTAAAAATAGAATAGAATCTCATAGAAAAAAGAATTGCTCACCAAGCGAACGCCAAAACTAAATGTGCATAATGGTGCGCAATATTATTAGTACTTTATAAATTTAAATGCGTTTTTTTTTGAGAAATCGGAAATAGCGTACATTAGTAATTCCGGTCAACGGAAAATACTCAAAATTTGACAGAAGGTAGAGAATTAGATCTTTTACTTACATGTGAAATTTCATTTATCTATCTAAAATAGTACTCAAGTTATATGCTTTTGAAAAATTCAAAGTAGAAAAAGTACCAGTTCCGGTTACCGGAAATCGCTCGGAAGTTGATCAGGATCTACGATTTTGATAAAATACTTATATATGAAATTTCATCAACCTAGCTGTAACGACACTCAAGTTATCGTGTTTACAGACACAGATACACACACACATACACAAACATACGGATAAGATTGCAAAACTATGTTTTTCCGACTGAGGTAGCCCCAAAACGTCGAGAGTTGCGAAAACCCGTTTTTTTCGCGATTAGAAGACTATCTCTATACTTCGTATATACGAGAAAGTAAATATTGTCTATGTCCCGATTTGCCTTCCCTCTTAGTGTTATATTAGAATACTCGAGAAAGTTTAGGGGAGATCACTCCCGGTTTATTTTTTATATTTGTTTTAGTTTACACCTTATGTGAGATAGTGACACGTTGTCTAATAAAGTTTGGCCTGCTCTGCGCATGTCACAGTAAGTAGTCGATACCCAAGCAGGCTGTAGTAGTTCATCACCCATTCAGCCTCGATTTTTTACAGGTGTGGTTTGATGTTAACTTAGCTAAAAGTTTTGTGAACACTGACATTTTAATATACCGGAGTGATTTAAGTATAATTTATAAAACGTTTGGTTTTAGAAATTTTACTTTCTCCAGAGTTAAAGAAAAGCACTTAGCAATAATGCATCTAGCAAGAAGAATTTTGCAAATTGTTTTTTTAGGATTTTTGTGTACAATGGTAAGATATAAATTATAAATCTTAATTGTTTTAATATATTGCACTTTGTTATTAAATACACACACACAAGTACACACACGAAGATTTTAAAGAAAAAAACGCTGTAAACTGAGGTGTGACTTAATTTTAGATATGAATTAAGATTGCCTTTCGGACCTCGCCACATCACGAGGCATGTGAAATAGCGTTCACCTGCTTCTGTGACCTCAGCATGTGAAGATGTGGGCAGGTAAAATTCCTGTTTTCAAGAAACAAAAATATGTTGGCTGGGTGTGACGTCTCTTTAGATGTGACGGTCTGGCTTTTTGTGATGATGTGTGACAGCGTGCAGGGGAACAAGTCAAACAAGTGTATTGTCAGTTATGACTACTAAACCAATATTCATCCATATGATTATAGGTGGTCTAGTATATATATATATATATATATATATATATATATATATATATATATATATATATATATATATATATATATATATAATTCTGGAAATTGAGTCTCTGCCATAGTGCTTGCCGATCATGGTAGTTGGTAAAATTTTGTCTAAATTTCTTTTTTCACCTATGAACCTATCATCCTACTACATCGCCGATGTTCATGTTTATATAGCAATCAAACTATTGAACTTTCAACCGCGTAATATTGTAAACAGTCGACTCCGGTTAAAAACGAACAATATGTTTAAATAAAACGTGGCTTGTTGCTGTTAATAATGGCACTAAATTTTATCATGTTTTGTTAAAATAATTGTGTGTCTTACTCAAATGGTGATATATTGAGGATATTACAAACCTAAGTGTAATCTTGCAAAAAAATAAAAAAATAAATAAAAACGATGTATTACCTGGACAACCACTTTGAGCTCTTTTTTACAGGTCAGTTGTCACGGGCTTATCAGCGATGAATCGATCGATGCTACTTCTCAACCAGACACTGAAACAACACAACAGTACGATAACAACAACAACTATGAAAAAGCTAGCACATTAGAGGGTTTCATTAGACTTTTAGGAGATGACCCTAGACAAGTTTTGTCGAGCATGTATGGTCAAAATGGTATGTTGTATTTTAGGTTTGGTCAAGATTGTATGATGTGTTTTAGGTATATATATATTTTATATATATATATATTATATAAACAATCATCTGACAGGACCATATGTCCCATAAAAACAAAACGTTTAGCGCATGTGATGCTAAACGTTCAAATTCTCCAGTCAACGTGGTACAATGTATTCTGTCTCCAGTACAGTGGCGTAAACACACACACATACATATATATATATATATATATATATATATATATATATATATATATATATATATATATATATACTACTTTTTAGTGCATTATTACATAAAAGCTTGTTATTAAAACGTTTTTTATGAAATTTAAAAAAAAAAAACAAAAACATTTTCTTTTGTAGCAGAAAAAAAAGGAAAATCTTAAAATATTTTAGAAAGGTGAAAGAGATTCGCAATAATCTGTTGTGAAACAATGTTTTCTAATTCCTAAAAAAAATTCAACAGTAAAACTAAATTTTATTACGCTTAAAAAACTTTGCCTTATTGCACGAAACAACTGATCGTGTTTCCACAGATGGAGGTAAAAATATCGCAAAGCCTGACATCTGCTCGCCACGACCAATCAGCGTTAAACTCAAGTACAATTTAGACCGGACAGGTATAATACACTACCCCGTGTGTACCCTGGTAGACCGATGTGGGGGCTGTTCAACGCCTGGCGTTAAGTGTGTCCCCACTAAGACAGAGTGGCTTAACCTTACGGTGAGTAATTTCCGTCATGTTGAAGTCAAGTTGTTGTGGTAAAAATATATGTTGGCTCGTGATTTGATTTTTAGAAATTTCACGAACAAGAATAAATTAGATATCCAGAAATAGTATCTAATATTTAGAAAACCACTTTTTTTTACAAAGAATAAGCGACACATAAGCTTGTAATAATAAGCCTTTATGTAATCTAATACTACTAAAACTCAACTTTGTTTACATGTTTGAATATTTATTTGTTTGTCTGATTTACTATATCTAATGGTTCTACTCATCGTGGAGAGCTGTAAAATAGTATGTAGGTAGAGAACAATTTTTGTTTTAAGACAGACTGTTAATCACAAATTTATTTAAAGACGTTAATTAATTTATTGATTTATTCATAGGTAGATTAACCACATTTTTAAAAAAAGATTATAAAAACCACTAGTCGACGAAACAGTGACGTCACATTTTTTGTTTACTTTTTATAACAATAAAATGGCGGCTTCCATCATAGGCCCATTCAAAAGTTTAACGCGTTCTAAATCTAATTTTCTGTCGGCCATAACTTTAACAATACGTCTGTTTGCTGTTTTTATTACGTTCCAACACTTATATAAAATTTCAACTGTCTTTTTCATTTAGTTTTACAATAAATGTCTCTACAATCTGACCAAGAAAGTTATTTATAGATCTATCATGTGGCCAAGCAAGCTATTTATAGATCTAAAATCTAGGTCAAACAAAAGATTAATTAGATACATTCCAAAGATTAAGTAAATAAAAATACAATCCATTTTATAATCATAATACATTTTTAGTCCTTAAATACTTGATATAAATCTTTGTGATATATCTATCTAGATCTAGATTCTAGATCTAGAATTTCTAGATTCTAGATCTAGACCTAGATCTAGCAAGAGTTACGCAAATAGATCTAGATTCTAGATCTACTAGATTCTAGACTTAAGCAAACGAGTCGTAGAATCTAGATGTAGATCTAGATAATTTCAGACCTTCGTTATTTTATATAAATCTTTGTTTGGCTAATTTAAGATAAAATTTAATTTGAAAGTTACTAGATCTGCTACTATAGACTTAGATCTAGATCTATGCGCGTAACTCAAGTTGCATAAGGAGACTCAAAGTATTAAAGTATAGTATAAAAATACATCTGTGACGTCACGAGTAAATAGCCAAATTGTTAGTGTAATCGGCTCTCATGCGGGTGGCACAGGTTCTAGACCAATACGTCAATGATAATATTTTTTTTCAATTTTTATTTTATTTTTTTAGATGTGAATGATAAAGTTGCCTATCTGAACTTGGCGGGATACAGGGCAGGTGAAGTAGAGTTCATCTGTTTCTTTGTCCTAAGCATATGAAGGGATAGTGTGGTCAGAGACATGCTCGGCTGGAATCGTTTTTGAACCGATAAAAACATGTTGTCTGAGACTTGGCGGCACTCTGGGCAGGTGAAGTAGAGTTGAGTAGGTCACCTGTGACGTCAGTATATGAAGGGATAGTCCGAAATCGGTGTTTTTTTTTAAAAGATAAAAATCATATTTTTGAATGTGGGGTCTGTTTTTTTGTGACGATAAGTGACACCGTAGTAGCGTAGCGAGGGGGGGACATATGTCCCCGGGCGCCGACCTTAGGGGGCGCCAAAAATGGGTTGGAAAAATAAATTGAAAGGTTTAGGGGGTGCAAGTCGAAAGTTTGAGTGGGGGGGGGGTGCAAATCGAAATCTTGAGGGGGGGGGGGGTGGGTACACATCAAGTTTGAGGGTGGGGGTTGCAAATCGAAATCTTGCAGGGGGGGGGGGGGCTCAAATCGAAAAGTTTGTCCCCAGGCGCCGGGAAGGGTCGCTATACCTCTGAGTGACAGACGTGTTGTTTTTTATGGATGACCCCCGAAACCCACAGTTATCCAACGGATGACGGGTAGTCTAGTAATGCACTAAAAAAGGAAAAAAAATATTTTCTTTAATTTATCTATACACAACTAAAATAAGAAGTTTGTATATGTATTTTTACTTCCTCGTATACAACATATAGAGGAAGTATTTTAATCGTGGAAAAAATATCACCTTTCACACCTCCCTGAGTTGGAAAAACATAGTTTTGCTATCTTGTCCGTATGTCTGTGTGTGTATGTGTATGTGTGTGTGGGTGTGTGTGTGTCGTTGAACAACGAGTACCGTTACAGCTAGGTTGATAAAATTTCATATACAAGTATAATTTCAAATTTGAACTTTTCAGCGATTTCCGGTAACCGAAAGTGGAATTTATCTCTACTTTCAATTTTTCAAAAGCAAACTTGAGTACTGTTTTAGATAGATTAATGAAATTTCACCTGTACATAAAGGGTTCTAATTCTCTGCCTTCTGTCCATTTTTGAGTAATTTCCATTGACCAGAAGTAATAACGTTTGCTGTTTCCGATTTCTCAAAAAATGCATGTGAATTTATAAAGTACTAATAATATTCCGCACTATTACCTATAATGATAGTTTTGCTGTCTGTCTGTGTATGTATCTATGTATCTGTCTATGTATTTATCTGTTGGTAACTCTTTTATTTATAGAGAAAATACAAGAAGAGTAAAAACGTTCATAGTAATACGAAAAACGAAACGTGACGCAGGAAATTGTCTCTAGGCGGAAAAGTAACCACAATAATATGCCGTCATTGATTCTCAAAAAAACATAGAATTAAAAAGCCAATTTTTTCTAATCTTAAAAGTGGTTTGCGTGAAGAGTTTATTCATGCATCCCTTCACAACCCCCTTCCGTAGAACGTCTAACCCCCCCCCCCCCCCTCCCCACAACCCCACCCACTCTCTCTCCCAAAGAGTTACCTGAAAGAAACACTAAATACGATTTTTGTCAAATTTGAGCTTAGGTTCAAGTTTTATGGGTATGACCACGACGATATTAAATATGGATATGCAGTAAATGCGTGAAGATTCTTGATAAAATTGGCATTGTTCGTTTCCGGTTAATCTGGAATTTAAAGTGGTGGCTTTGGTTTTGTTTGGGTTTTGTTTAGAGAAAAAGACAAAACTATCAACCTAGCGCCCGTTGTATCCTTCCTCAACGGGACATTTATCTAGTCTATAATAATAGTTTCGCTGTAAAAACATTCATAGTAATACGAAAGAAAAACGAAACGTCACATGGAACATATAGTAGAAAGTAGTCTAAAGCCGGGAAAGTACACACAATAATATGACGGCATTGCTTCTCGAGTAAACAATGAATTAAAAAGCCAATTTTGTCTAATCTTAAAAATAGTTTGCGTGCAGAGCTTCTTTCATGCAGTTTTTCGGTAGTGTCAAATCCCCCCCCCCACCCCCGCCCCTGGGTAGAGCGTAACCCCCCCCCCCCCCCCAAAAAAAAACAAACCGAAATATTTATATAGAAAATATATATACCTTAACAGTGTCGGCCTCCCCCCTTCACCGAAAGAAAATTCTAAGTGCGACTTTTTTTCCTGATTGAGATTATATTTCAAGGTTTAGGGGTATGGCTACAGCTATATTTAGTATCTTGTGCAATAACTACGTGTAGATCAAATGCCGATTCTGGATAAAAATCTGTTTTCAATGTAATTTTTCGTTTCCAGTAAAATTTGAAGTTAATATGTTGATTTTGGTTTTGGTTTAGAGAAAGGAGACAACATTATCAACCTAGCGCCCGTTGTATCCTTCCTCAAGGGGCCATTTATCTCCGACACTATTGTTGGCGTTTAGTTTGTGCGCAATTCTTTTGTTCTACGAGATTCTATTATATTTTAAAATATTTAAGTAATTGAAAATTGATTAAAAATCATATCTATATCCTGAGTTGCTATCCCACGTAGTGTTATATAGTGAATATTCGAGAAAGTTTACGGGAGATCACAACCGGTTTATTTTGTTTGTGTTTGTGTTTTTTTGTTTGTTTGTTCCGTTTTATGAGAGCCTCTGCACTATGTATAGAACAGCTAAATAAGTATTCATATAGAGAATAATTTTCTTTTTTTCTAAAACTGTTAATCAAAAAAAATTTTTAAATTTAAATACGTTAATTAATTAACTGTATTCATTTGTAGATAAAAAGTTTAGAATAAAGACTTTATTTGTAGTGACGTCACTTGATGTATCTACTTATTTACACAACAAACATGGCGGGCTGTCAGGGAATAGACAACCATTCAAAAGTTTAATGCATTATAATGCTTAACTTTCTGTTGGCTATAGCTTTAACGATACGTCTTTTAGCCATTTATTAGGTTCCAACTCTATTATCAACTTTCAATAGGTTATAGCGACCAACGTTTTTCTTTATAGTTATTTAAATAGTAGAGAATTATAATGTATTAAAGAAAATTGTTTTCCTCTTTTTAGCACATTATTACATAAAAGCATTTTTTCGGTACTTTAACTTTTTAATAGAGTTACATGACTGAAAACTATTGCGCGCCAAATGAACATAACAGTGTGAAATAGTAGGATAGGACTACCTACTAATTTCAGAAAGTTTTAATTAATTCATACAAAACTAATTATAATCCAATTAAGTCAGGTTTAATGTCTTATTGCGTTGTCGTCGGGTCTTTGCCAACATGCCTGATTTCAGAGAAATCAATCGGCTAGAAGTGCCCAAAAATTTCACCTTTCGTTTCGATCTAGGATTAAGACAGGATGTAAAAATTTTGGACACAATTTTAATTAATTCATAAAAAATTAATTGGGCATCAAATTAAGTCATATTTAATGTCAGATAACATAGTCTTCATGTCTTGACCCACGTGCCAGCTTTAAAACGAATCTATCAGTTGGAAGTGTCGATCTATTTAGGCAGACTGAAAACAGACAGATTGACGACAGACAGTGGAAGCAAGTTAAATAAAAGCGTGTAATAAAAGCTTCTAAAATAGCTTTAAAATCTGAGAATTATCAGATTCCTATATAAACTTCATCTCTTCCTTAGGCGATTGCAGCTGAATACTCAAACACGGCCATTGCTTGGACATACAAGGAAGTCTACGTCGCCATCAGGCGTCACCTATCCTGCAAAATTCAGTGTTCTTTGAATGATGAAAAATGCGGCCCCAAAAAGATCTTCAAAGCAGCAGACTGCCTGTGCTACTGCCGTGAACATCTCAAATGTGAATCGCCATTTTTTCTCGACCCGGAGACGTGCAACTGTACTTGTGGTCCAATCAACTGCTGCCCAGATGGTCCGGCCAAGCCCTGTCATCTGGTTTTGAATAATAAAACATGCCAGTTAGTTGTCATTTAAAAAAAAAACACGTTTATTTAAAACTATTTAAAACTATGGATTTTAGGGGAACAGGACATCAACCCACTGTCTTTTACCCCGATCATTTCCCTCGTCCCTTTAGTACCCCCTGTAAATCACCCCTATACATTACCCCCCCCTCTCCACCCCATAGCCCCCCCCCCCCCAAAAAGCTAGGGCCTTGTCGTGGCGTGGCAGCCTGTATACCCCGACGACCCCCAGAGGGAAGGTTTGCGCGTGTAGGGGTCAGACGAAAGCTAGCACCCTGGTTCTACAGGTTGGGGGTCAGCAACCTTATATCGGAAAAAACAAATTACTGGCTACAGAAACAAAGACAGTTCGGACCAGGGGAAGAATGGATCTCCCGATGGAGAATTTATGAAGCCGAGTGGTGAAAGCCAATACGTATTGGAAACTACCAGGTCGACCACAATTGGTTTCCACCAGGTCCACCATCAATATTGGAGCTTGGAATGTCCGCAAAATGTATGAAGCTGGAAAAGCAACCCAAGTAGCAGCAGAAATGAGACGCTATAAAAAGCTATCCTGGGTGTCAGCGAGTCAAGGTGGACTGGCTCAGGACAAAAAAAGCTGATAACAGGAGAGCTACTGCTGTACTCAGGCAATGAGGATGAAAATGCACCACATACTCAAGGAGTTGCGCTCAAGCTATCAAACCAAGAACAAAGGGCTATCATTGGATGGGAGGCACACTGCCCGTGGATTAACAGCTACCTTTAAAACTAAAATAAGACGAATGAACATGGACATAATACAGGCCTACGCCCCAACAAATGAGAGCAAAGAGGAGGACAAAGACGAATTCTACAACAGGCTAATGACCATTATCCAGAACCGCCCAAGAAGAAACATCCTAATACTCATGGGCGACTTCAATGCTAAGATTGGAAGTGACAACAGAGGATATGAAGAATGTATGGGACAGCAGGGTTTAGGTGAGATGAACGAAAACGGAGAAAGATTTGCTGACTTGTGTGCCACAAGTAATTTAGTAATTGGAGGTAGTCTCTTTCATCACAAAAGGATACACAAAGCTACTTGGGTATCACCCGACCTTTCTACAGAAAACCAGATAGACCATATATGTATCATAAAAAAGTTCAGGAGATCACTTCAAGATGTACGTGTCAAGAGAGGAGCTGATGTTGCTTTAGACCATCACCTACTTGTTGCTAAAGTAAAACTCAAACTGAAGAAAAACATGTTGGAAAACAAAAGGAAAAACAGATACAACACAGGCCTACTTAAGGACCCCTCTAAACTCAATGAATTTAAACTTCATATGTCCAATAGGTTTCAGGTACTACAAGAACTAATAGAAGAAGAGAAGATAGAGGAAACATGGAAAGAAACTAAAAACATATTAACATCAACATGCGAAGAAGTGCTAGGCCCTATCAAAAGACAAGCGAAGGAATGGCTTTCAACAGACACCATGAAAATTATTGAAGAGAGAAAAAGAAAGAAGGCAACATTAAACAACAGTCGCACACGGGCTGCTAAATTGAAAGCACTGGAAGAATACACCGAAATAAATAAAAGAAGCGCATAAGGAAAGACAAACGGAGTTATTTGGGAATGCTGGCAAGAGAAGCGGAAGAAGCACTGTACCGTGGTAATATTAGGGACGTGTACATCACAATTAAGAAGATATCTGGGAAGTACAGTAAGCCAGAGAGGCCAGAGAAGACCAAAGATGGAAAGACAATACCTGATGCGGAAGGACAGATGAAGAGATGGGCAGAACATTTTCAAGAACTACTGAATAGACCAACACCAGAGTGCACGCAAGACATACCAGCAGCTTATAATGACCTCCCTATAGACTGCAACCCACCTTCAAAAGAAGAGATACATAAAGCTATAAAGCAGCTGAAAAATTGGAAGTCTCCCGAAATAGATGGTACACCGGCAGAAGCACTGACAGAAAATATAGAAACTAGCACCACACTACTACACACACTCTTCAAGAAAATCTGGGAAGATGAACAAATACCAGAGGAGTGGAAGGAGGGACTACTCATAAAACTTCCAAAGAAAGGCGATCTTAGTGCATGCTCTAACTATAGAGGGATAACACTTTTGTCCATCCCAGGCAAAGTCTTCAACAGAATATTATTAAACAGAATGAAGGAAGCGAGAAGATCCCCAGCTTTGAGATCAACAGGCAGGCTTTAGGAAGGAAAGGTCATGCGTAGACCAAATTGCTACCCCCGCATCAACATTAAACAGACCCAAGAGTGGAACTCATCTCTCTATATTAACTTCATAGATTATGAGAAGGCCTTTGTTAGCCTGGATAGACAGTCAATGTGGAAATTGTTGAGACACTACGGAGTGCCACAGACAATAGTCAACATTATTATGTCTTCATATGAAGGTCTGAAATGTAGAGTACTGCATGGCCAACAGACTGCAGAGGCCTTCTCAGTACGGACCGGAGTAAGGCAGGGTTGCCTACTTTCACCATTCCTTTTCCTGCTGGCCATAGACAGAATTATGAAGATGTCAACAGAGAAAACGCGAAACGGTATACAGTGGACACTGTGGAGCCGGCTGGATGACCTTAACTTTGCTGACGACCTGGCCCTACTTTCTCACACACAACAGCAAATGCAGGATAAAACCAAAAGAGTTGCTAATTTGTCTACATGCCTGGGTCTGAACATCCACAGAGGGAAAAGTAAAGTTCTCAAAGTCAATGCAGCAAACAGCAACCCTTTAACATTGGCAGAAGCCCTAGAAGAAGTAAATAGATTCACCTACCTTCGAAGTAAAGTTTATAAGCATGGTGGGACAGAAGCAGACATAAAAATAAGGACGGGCAAGGCAAGAGCAGTCTTCAACCAACTAAAAAATGTTTGGGGTTCTGGAGATTTAACCCTTTGAATAAAAATACGGATCTTCAACACATTAGTAAAACCTGTTTTACTCTATGGAGCTGAGACAATGAGAATAACTGCTATAAATAAGAAGAAAATACAATCATTTATAAACTCATGCCTCAGAAAGATCTTGGCCTAAAACCATCAGAAATGATGTTCTATGGCAATGGACAAATAAACTGCCAGTTGAAGTAGAGTTCCTCCAGAGAAAATGGAAATGGATTGGCCACACACTCAGGAGGCCTGTATCCAGCATAACAAGACAAGCCCTCACCTGGAATCCACAAGGCAGGAGGAGGAGAGGCAGACCAAGAAAGACCTGGAGACGTGACCTGGAAGAAAATACCAAGAAGATTGGATACACCTGGAGACAGTTGGAGAGACTAGCCCATGACAGAGACGTCTGGAAAGCTTTTTTCAGCGGCCTATGTCCCAGTAGGGACGACAGGCAAACCTAACCTAGCCTAAAACATAACTCCTCGTTTATTAGGATATATGGAGAGTGTTGGGATAGGGTTAGGGTTAGTGTTTGTGATAGGGATATAAATATAAATAGCAATAAGAATAAGAATTTAAAAAAAAAATATGTATATATGCGTTTGCGAATGGTAATGCTAATGCGTATTTGTATGTGTCTGTGCCTGTATAAGGATAAGTGTAAGTGTTAAGGTAAGGGTAAAAGTAAGGGTAACTGTTATGGTTACGATTACGGGGTTACGGTTATGGTGATGATTATTGTTATGGTAATGACTATTGTTATGGTTGTCGTTTCTGTTATTGTTAAGGTTTTTCTATGGATCCTGTTATAGAAAGTTATGGTTATGTTTATTGTAATAATTATGGTTGTGGCTAATGTTTTGGTTATTGTTAGATATAGAAATAAGGATAGCGATAAGTTATAGTGATAGTATTAGTTTTAGAGTTCTGATTACCCCAGGTTGTAACTTACATGGGGCTAATCGATATCTGATTGGGTAGAGATCGTGTTAATTAATGGGGCAGGGATGCACTATCATATGCCCGAATTTTTTGTGTTTCTTGTTTATCTTTTTTTTTTGATGCGCCAGCTAATTTAAATCGATGTTATATAAACAGGTGTGACCTTAAACCCCAAATGTACAGCAACGCCAGCGGCAGCATCCCCTCGTCACAGCAAGTTGTTACAAGCGCGCTTTCGACACCACCAGCCGCCGCACCGAACACCACATCGACAACATCTTCAGCAAACGACCCATGTGCAAATTACAAGTGCCCTCCGCGAACTGTCAAATATGTTAACAATGGCAGAGGTTGTGCTTGCCGCACTCAAAACGTCATACCACAAAATTAAATATAAAACAAATATTAAAAACCCTTAGAATAACAAGCTTTTAAATGCACTAAACATAAGAAAATTGAAACAAACTTGCTTTTTTTAATAAAAGCAGTTGACAAAATATCGTTGCTAAAATGTGTAAGATTTTCCATTAGCAACCGGTACATTTATTAAACAAAACAAGCTTTCTTCTATTTTTTTTTTCAGTGCTTTTAAAAGCTTATTATAATAAAGGTTTTTTTTTTGTTTTAATTTCTTCATTTTAGTAATTTGTTCACAATGAAGTCGACAACACCTACGACTAAACATATTTGCCGTAAAACCTTGCGACCTAATCCATAATCGATTATCATTTAAGTTTGTTATCTCCCCTTTTGTTTTTAAATTTTTAAATGACTATTCTAATGTCTAACTAAACTGGAAATAACCTATTCTTTCACTGTCGTAAGAGACGAATGTGTCCGGTAAGATCGAACGAAATATCTGCATTAAAATTGGTTAAATGAAATTACAAGAATTCTCACAAACCCATATACAATCAAACAACCAGACATTGTGAATTAAATAAAAGCTTTTATTTATAATAGTGTTTACAATATTTAATAAGTTGTGTTAAATTTTTTAAAAATGTATAGAATCGTTTTAATAACAAGCTTTTATGTAATACAAAGAAGAAAATAAATGATTTTCTTAAAATTTATTAGAATACACTACTATTTAAGTTACTATAAAGAAAAGAGTGGGTCTGTATTACCTATTGGATAACTTTTCTAATATTTAAGAAGAGACCCACGCTTTTCTTTATAGCGAAATATATATTTTACGAGCCGACCCGAGGTATACCATACACCGCTATTTACTTGTTTTATTTTCTACTTTTCAGTTATTCATAATTTGTAAATTCGACAGTACCAATGCTGCCACTGAAAATATTTGCTTTAAAACACTATCAGTAGGTCGTTAAGAATGATACTACCCCACCCTCCTTTCCCCAAACCCCTCCCCTACACCCCCTCCCCCGTGAAAGCAGCCTCCTCTTAGTTACCTCCCCTAACTTTAAAATAGTTTCAAACTAAATTATCTGCCACTAATAGCCGTCACTAAACCCGGCTCTACGATTGTAAACATTTAGCGTGAACCATTGCTCACCAGACCATGTAAGGGTGGGATGGTAGGGAGCGCGCTTACAGCTTGTTTTCTAGCGTTTCCAAGAAGAGAATTATATATATACGAGCCGGCCCGCGGCATAACATACGCCGCTATTTAGTTGTTTCTAATTTTCAATAATTCATAATTTGTGAATTCGACAGTACCAACGCGGACACTGAAAATATTTCTTTAAAACACTATAAGTAGCTCGTTAAGGACCATAACCCCCCCCCCTTCCTCCCCCCCCCCTACGTTTAAAATCGTTGGCTCTGCTTGTAAACATTTAGAGTGAACACAGCTCACTAAAACCATGTAGGGGTGGGGAGGTAGGGAGAGCGTTTGCAGCTTGTTTTCTAACGGCTCGAAGAGGAGAATTATATATATAGATAGATTGAAACATATAAAATATATTTTCCTGGGGGGGGGGGGGCACTAGCAAAAGTATTTATTTTTTATATAAATTATATTTCGTTCGGGAGAGGGGGAGGGCGAGCGGACACTTGTAAAAGTATATATTTTGCCCCCCCCCCCCCCCCCCCATCCTCACCATTACTATAGATGCCTAAAAGAAACTCTACATGCAGACCACTTTAAGATTAGACAAATAAATTAGGCGGTAATGTTAGTGTCTGTATTATCGCGAATCGTTTCGTTTTGAAAATGTCCTATTTGTTCCATGTGACATCCGGTGGTAGGAATTTTCGTTTTTGGTTTGACTGTGAAAGTTTTTAATGTCCTTGTGTTTTCTCTAGAGCTTTTCGGACAGACAGGCACAAAGAGAGAGAGAATAGCGAAACTATTATTATAGACTAGACAAATGGCCCATTAATGGAGAAAAACAACAGGCGCTATTTTGATAATGTTGCCTGTTTTCTAAACCGAAACCAAAACCAAAATCACCAGCTTAACTTCAAAATTAACCGGAAACGAAAAATGTCATTGAAAAACGGAATTTTATCCAGAATCGGCATTTTAACCGGATTTAATATTCATCTACACATAGTAAATTAGGAGTTAGATTTTCGTTGTGTATTTTGAACGAAGTGAAATTAAAAACTCTATTAGGTGTATATATTGTGAAAGCTCTTTCTTTTCTCATTGAGATATTTTTCCTTTGGGATATTGTGTTCGTAAGATCTTTTAACCACATGCAATTTTTACCCGAGTGGAAGCAAAAAAGACTAGATACCAGCCATTTTGTTTGAACGTATAAAGTCTCCTCTTTGCCAACTGATTTAAATCTGTTTATTGATTTATATTTTTTTTTTGAATTAGTCGCTGGCGTAGGAGAAAATCTATTTATTTAAATTAATTTAGATTGTTGACCCATCTAAGTTTGATAATTTAAGTAGCTCGGCTTAGCCTAATACATTAAAATAAACGTTTTTTTTCCCAACACCTTGTTGTAGAAGCTGCGGACCATCAGTGACGTACTTACCGTAAAGCTAGCGTAAGCAAGACCAGTGTTTCTTCCAGACATTTTTCTCCGGGGGGGGGGCACTTGAAATCTTCGGGGGGGGGGGGGGGAGGGTAGGGCGGTAAACTGTCTTCGGGGGGGGGGGGGTGGGGCGGACACTGTTAAAAGTATATATTTTCTATATAAATTATATAAATTTCATTTCGTTCGTGGGGGGGGGGGGGGGGGCGGTAAAAAAATTTCGGGGGGCCAAGCCCCCCCCCCCGAAGAGATGCCTGGAAAAAACTCTGAGCAAGACATAGGGGCTCAAGGTACTTAGGGGCCCTTTACTCTCTAAAAAAATTAAAAATTTTACATTGAAATTTTAATATTTGTTTTTTTATAATACATTTTAAAAAGAAAATGAAAATACAGTTTCTTGTCTACTGTAGAAATAAATAAAAGTTCTAAAACGGCCTCAGTCCTTTCTTACAGTACAGGCAGTGGGATTCAGTAGGGGGGGGGGGGTCAAACAAGAGCCATCCGTAATAATAACACTACAGGCGTAGTCGCGTTGCCCGACAAGCCATTGAGAGAATTAGCCTATAAATAACTTGAACTTTGACTCTTTTGTGAGAGACGAAATATCCGACACCTTTAAATTTACATGCATCGCTACAAACCTTAAATGACTGAGTAATTACCTACCCCACCCCACAGACCTGCAACTCACTACCAAATGTATGCCCTCCCTCCAATCCCATCTACAGCGTTTTTACAACAAGCTAAGTCTATTATTTTTCAATGTTTTTCTACTATTTTTTTTTACTTTAATGACATTGCATTTGTTGATCGAATTAATCTTTAATCAATATCGTTTTACCAACACTATACGTGTTTGGTATTATTCAATCGCCAAGAAACTTTGGGAAGTCGTTGAGAATACTCCGGGCAGAAATTGTTTGAAAAGTTGCCTATATATATAGTTGAAAATTCTGTATGTATGTAATTATGTTTGTCGTGGATTACAAAAGAATATAAGAAAAACCGATACTTCCATGGTTTCAAGAGTTAGATTTTTAAAGTGCTCAATGTCTAAATTTATGAGTTTGAAAATTAATATTGAAAGTGTTTTAAAATAATGTTCATTTCGCTTACTTAGAATTATAATTATCAATATAAACATTACATGAAATTAAAAAAAAATATTTATTCACGTTTATTAAATTTATAATTGTGTCTGAAAATTATTTGCATTTAGTCCTTTAGGCTCATTACGCCACTTGATTAGAAAAACACGGTTTCTTCCCTTTAAAAAACATCGGGTGGAACAGAATTTACTTCTTATTACTTTGTTTTGGTGTTGGGAAAAAAAAATAATTACATAATTAGCGGGGATTGATCAAGTACAAATGTTGTAGGTATTTTTAATACTGCCTTTTGTTTATTCACTACACTGAAATTACTGTTTACTAATTATTTTAAAAAAATCAATAACAGTTAATAAGCCAGGTCCTACATGTCCTATATGTTTATTTCTTTCCGTTTACGGATAAGCATGGAGTATTATAATTGTTCATTAAATTGAAATAGGTGCGTCCGCCGGCGCCCCACCAGGGTTCAATTTGGCGCCCTGGGCTATCCTGTGAGCGCTATGGTGCATAATTTCGCTTTATACAGTGCCATAGAGTATGGATAAGAAAGGTTACTATAGTCTTTAAGTGAATCGAATCCGTGAGTCCTCAGGCGCCCAGACCGGGTGCTATTTGGGGCCCCGGGCATTGCCGTGTTCAGTTTGGCACCTACGTTCGTTTAAGTGAGTTCAAAAGACTATAAAAAAGTTCGTGTATTATAGTCGTTTATTATGCTGAAACAGGCGATTTCGCCGACGCCCCAGCATGGTGCGATTTGGGTTTGCGTTAGTGGTTGGGTTTGCGTTTTGATTTGATTCGTTTTCGTTCTTTCTTTTTCTTTTTTAGTTTTCGTTTGTGTTTTTTTTCTTTATGTTTGTGTTTGTATTTGAGTTTGTGGTTGGTTTTGTGTTTTCGTTTGTGTTTGTGGTTGGGTTTGGGTTTGGGTTTGGGTTTGTGTTTGTGTTATCGTTTGTACTAGTGTTTGCGTTTATGTTATATTATGTTTTATTTCTTTAGTTGTGTTTTGGTTTTGGTTGGTTGTGGTTAGGTTCGGCAATGCCGGGTATATGCCGTTTATTAAACACACATGTCATGTTTCTTTACAGATAGGTTTCAGAAAGCTTTTTTTATAGTCACCTTCACCAAACTACAAGAAGATGTACAATTTCATATAATACTAGCCGTCCCGGTTTGTGTTGTGTTGTGTTGTGTTTGTGTTGTGTTTTGTTTGTGTTGTGTTGTGATTGTGTTGTGTTGTGGTTGTGTTGTGTTTGTGTTATGTTCGCGGTTCTTTTTTTGTGTGTTTTGGTTTTGGCTGGTTGTGATTAGGGTGGGCAATGCAGGGTATATGCTGATTACAAAACACAAATGTCATGGTCCTTTACAGATAGGTTTTTCACAGAGGTCAGAGCAGGGCCTGGCCGTGACGGCTAGTATATATATATATATATATATATATATATATATATATATATATATATATATATATATATATATATATATATATATATATATATATATATATATGTATGTGTGTGTGTGTGTATAGTCCTATATAATATGCATACACACATAATAACACATAAATGTTTTGGAGTCTATAAGACTTTAATAACAGATGTTAACCTCTCCCACGTTTTAACCCAATGTTCTTAGTTGTTTTTTTCCTTGCTACGATATTAAATCACTTTTGACAGTTATGTAATTCATACCGAATCACTTAAGAAAATTCAATTACGTGCCAAATAATTAGGAAAATAAAATGGTTTTCCTTGCTAAGATATTAAATCACTTTTGACAGTTATGTAATTCATACCAAATCACTTAAGAAAATTCAATTACGTGCCAAATAATTAGGAAAATAAAATGGTTTAAATTGTTTGTTGATGACTAATTATTAATATAAAAGCAGGGGCGTAGCGAGGGGGGGGGGTGGCGCGGAACGCACCGGGTGACACCATTTAGGGGGGGGGGGGGCGACACCAAGGCAAAAAAAAAAGCAAAACATATACAAAAAATGATAGTTTCACTTTAAAAAGTGGTTAATTAGAGTGTTAATAATCTTTTAAGAGCAAATTTGATAAATCCCGACAAGGGTGGAATGGATGGGGTTTCACTATGACGTTAACCTGCTAATGATAGAGAAAACATGCTACATCAACACTATTAACTTTCTTCCAAAAAAAAAAAATAAATCACTCTGTCTAATGCCCCTTAATATAGATCCTAAGGGCCTCCCCCCCCCCTCATCGCCCTCTTCCCACCCTCTGCACGCAACTGGATGTTAATTTTGTTATATAAAGATAAGTAGAGCTACATATACGACATCTACAACAAGAAAGTCAGGACTAGCGTTCATCAGGTCACTAACTGTATATTACAGGCATCCAGTCTGCTCACTAATAGGACGTCTTCATCGGTATCACTTTACGTGTTTCCCAAATTTACATCCCATGTCAGGTCGGGGGCTGATTCGCGTCCAACTATCTCCAGTCAGCTCAGGTCAAATGCGAGGCGACCGTACCCAGCACACAGCGAGGTGTGACACTGTTTTTGTATCGAATTACGGCCTGTCCCAGTTTAGGTGGGTGATAACTCACTAACATCAACCGTGGTCTCAGTTATAACAATCAACAACTTCGGCATTCGACCATTTAGTTTTTCCCCATTGAATTCAGCCACAATTTATTTAAGTTTACAAACTAATTCAGGTAACAATGACAGTGATGCAGTGCGGGGCCCCTTCAAGCGCGGGGCCTAGGGCGACCGCCCCGTTAGCCAACCCCTAACAGCGGCTCTGGCTAAGATCTAGATTTAGACTCTTTCTACTCTAGAATCTATTCCAAAAATAAATTTCTATATTAAACTATATCAGGCCTGAATTGTTTTTCAGAAATCTTTGCTTGTTTAGCTATGGAACTGGATAATTTGGGATAAAAAATTAATTTGAAACTTAGTTTTTTTTTTAAATATGTGAATCTTCTGATTTTAGACTGTAAAGAAAGGAACTACTTCATTCAAATTTGATTTAGATCTAGATCTACTCATCAAGACGTACGCTATGAAATATATACAATTTTATCGGTCAAACTAATACAAATTACGTAAAAACAACATAATGACCATTGAATAGCCAGATTTTTAAAGTAATCATTTAAGTCACTTAATCAGTGTGTGCCTGTATTATGTTAAATGTGTCGGATTTTTAGCTCATTAGTTATTTCTTTGCTTTGTCACTAATATCGTTCAGCGTGTAGTAAAGCACATTGCGTTTTAACCAATAACTATTTCATAAATTATTGTTCTCAAACAAGTACATTTTAAAATATATAGGCCAATAATTCACGTGAAACGGATACCGATGGCTAGTAGAATAGAACCTCGTAGCAAAAATTATTGCACACCAAGTGAACGCCAAATAAAATGTGTATAGTAGTGCGGAATATTATTAGTACTTTATAAATACACATGCATTTCTTGAGAAATCGGAAATAGCATAAATTACTACTTCCGGTCAAAATTTGTCAGAAGGTAGATAATTAGATCTTTTACTTACATGTGAAATTGCATTTATCTATCTGAAATAGTAATCACCTTATAGGCTTTTGAAAAATTGAAAGTAGAAGAAAATCCACTTCCGGTTATTGGAAATCGCTCAAATTTGATACAGATCTACAATTTTGATATAATACTTTTATATGAAATTTTATCCACCTAGCTGTAACGACACTAAGTTATCGTGTTTACAGACACAGACACACATACACACACACAGACATATGGATAAGATTGCAAAACTATGTTTTTCCGACTCAGGTAGCCCTAAAACGTCGAGAGTTGCGAAAACCCGTTTTTTTTTCGCGATTAGAAGACTATCTGTATACTTCGTATATACGAGAAAGTAAATATTGTCTATGTCCCGATGTGCCTTCCCCCTTAGTGTTATATTAGAATATTCGAGAAAGTTTAGGGGAGATTACTCCCGGTTTATTTTTTATATTTGGTTTAGTTTACACCTTATGTGAGATAGTGACACGTTGTCTAATAAAGTTTGGCCTGCTCTGCGCATGTCACAGTAGGTAGTCGATACCCAAGCAGGCTGTAGTAGTTCATCACCCATTCAGCCTCGATTTTTTTTACAGGTGTGGTTTGATGTTAACTTAGCTAAAAGTTTTGTGAACACTGACATTTTAATATACCGGAGTGATTTAAGTATAATTTATAAAACATTTGGTTTTAGAAATTTTACTTTCTCCAGAGTTAAAGAAAAGCACTTCGCAATGATGTATCTAGCAAGAAGAATTTTGCAAATTGTTTTTTTAGGATTTTTGTGTATAATGGTAAGATATAAATTATAAATCTTAATTGTTTTAATATATTGCACTTTGTTATTAAATACACACACACACACTGACACACACACACACGTACACACTCGAAGATTTTAAAGTGTGACTTAATTTTAGATATGAATTAAAATTGCCTTTCGGACCACGCCACGTCACGAAGCATGTGAAATAGCGTTCACCTGCTTCTGTGACCTCAGCATGTGATGGTGTGGGCAGGTAAAATTCCTGTTTTCAAGAAACAAAAGCATGTTGGCTGGGTGTGACGTCTCTTTAGATGTGACGGTCTGGCTTTTTGTGGTGATGTGTGACAGCGTGTAGGGGAACAAGTCAAACAAGTGTATTGTCAGTTATGAATGACCACAAAACCTATATTGATCCATATGATTATAGGTGGTCATATATATATATATATATATATATATATATATATATATATATATATATATATATATATATATATATATATATATATATATATATATATATATAATCCTGGTAATTGAGTCTCTGACATAGTGCTTGCCGATCATGGTAGTTGGTACCATTTTGTCTAAATTTCTCTGTCTTCAATGAACATCGAACCCGACACTTTTGCCTTCAGCAATTCGAGAATCAGTCCTCTCAGCCTGTGTCCACAATTTTTATTTCTTAAGCCAACTGGACCAACATGTTTTCATGTATGGTTTTCGTCTCAGTTCCGTTTGCTGACATCTCTGTACTTCAGCAAGGGCACTTCTCTTGTGTCTGGTACCATAGTTCTTTATACAAGATGGCACAGTCAGGCATGATAGTGTCATATATGAGGCATGGCCAAGGCAAGTCTTCTTTGTAGTAACATTCCTTTTTTTTTGGAGTTTTTGCAAGTAGCCTACGTCTTCTTTTAGAAAAAACACACTTAAGATATTTGGAGGTCCAGTGAGATTAAAACTTAAATGTGTTATTATTTTTCCTCTTTGAAATGCAGTCATAATCCCCCGGAAAGTATACATCGAATATTTATCATCCTACCACATCGCCGATGTTCATGTTATATAGCAATCAAACTATTGAACTTTCAACCGCGTAATATTGTAAACAGTCGACTCCGGTTAAAAACCAACCATATGTTTAAATAAAACGTGGCTTGTTGCTGTTAATAATGGCACTAAATTTTATCCTGTTTTGTTAAAATAATTGTGTGTCTTACTCAAATGGTGATATATCGAGGATATTACAAACCTAAGTGTAATCTTGCAAAAAAATGAATAAATAAAAACAATGTATTATCTGGACAACCACTTCGAGCTCTTTTCAACAGGTCAGTTGTCACGTGCTTAACAGCACTGAATCCATCATGGCTACTTCACAACCAGCCACTGAAACAACACATCAACCCACTAACAATAACCACTCTGAAAACGCTGGCAAATTAAAGGGTTCCCTTAATCGTTTTGGAGCTGGACCTAGACACATTTTTTAGAGCATGTATGGTCAAAATGGTATGTTGTATTTTAGGTTTGGTCAAGATTGCATGATGTGTTTTAGGTTTGGTCAAGAATATTGACAAAAAATAATGGATTGTTATGTAGGTTAATTAATAATTTAACACGTCGAGGTTACTGTTTACGCACGGTGCCTGAATTAGGGTTCACTACGTTTGACTGTCTTTCTGCGAATGGTTTTATAAAAAGAATTATAAAATAAAAACATACTATCATAGAGGAGCAGCGCGTTCCTTCCCGGCGCCCGGGGTGAGCTTTAAATTTGGCACTTCGCTGATATCTATATACATATATATATATATATATATATATATATATATATATATATATATATATATATATATATATATATATATATATATATATATATATATATATGTATATATATATGTATATGTATATATATATGTTTATATATATATATATATATATATATATATATATATATATATATATATATATATATATATATATATATATATATATATATATATATATGTATATATATATGTATATGTATATATATATGTTTTTATATATATATATATATATATATATATATATATATATATATATATATATACATGTATATATGAATATATATATATATATATATATATATATATATATATATATATATATATATATATATATATATATATATATATATATATATATATATATATATATATATATATATATATATATATATATATATATATATATATATATATATATATATATATATACATACCTGTCGCCGCTATACAAGGGGCAGATAATTAAGAAAGAAAGCCACAATTATCACCTTTAGCAACAAAAACTGGCTCTCGCCCCTTGCAAACAGAATCAGACTTTTCGTCACCAGCTATCATCACATTTGATTACTGCGTACCTGGCCAAAACAAGAACTTTAACGCTCAAATTGGCCAACGCAGACAACCTCGTTGGAAGCCCATTGCCTGAACTTAGTTCAATTCAAGCCTTGCACTTAATTGATGTTAGCTGCCCAGTTAAATAATAATGAAGCTAGTTATGACTAACTTTGATATATGTTTATACACAAGCATTACTTAAAAAAATCTATTTGGACATTTATTATTGTCATAAATTATTGTTTTTTTGTGTGTTCTTGCACTATTTTTCACAGGTTTCCATGGACTTCTTAGACCTGGTTGTGACAACCTACTAAAACAGAACTTGCATTAGTTAATTCCTGAAAACAATGTAAACTTATTATGAAATAAACCGGTAGTGATCTCCCCTAAACTTTCTCGAATATTCTTATTTAACTTGGAATATAGACATGATTTTTAATTACTTAAACTTTTACAAATAGAATAGAATCTCATAGAAAAAAGAATTGCGCACCAAGCGAACGCCAAATCAAAATGTGCATAATAGTGCGATATATTATTAGTACTTTATAAATTTACATGCGATTTTTGAGAAATCGGAAATAGCGTAAATTAGTATTTCCGGTCAACGGAATTTACTCAAAATTTGACAAAAGGTAGAGAATCAGATCTTTTACTTACATGTGAAATTTCATTTACCTGTCGTAAATAGTACTCAAGTTATAGGCTTTTGAAAAATTCAAAGTAGAAAAAGTACCACTTCCGGTTATCGGAAATCGCTCAGAAGTTGATACAGATCTACGATTTTGATAAAATACTTATATATGAAATTTCATTAACCTAGCTGTAACGGTACTCAAGTTATCGTGTTTACACACAGACAGACACACACACACAGACAGACAGACATACGGACAAGATTGCAAAATTATGTTTTTCCGTATCAGTGAGGTGTAAAACGTCGAGATTTGTAAAATTCTCGGTTTATTTTGCACGATTACAAGACTTTCTCTATACTTCGTATATACAAGAAAGTAAAAAATGTCATTACTCACTGGTAACTCATTACAATTTACATAAATAAACCGGGAGTGATCTCCCCTAAACTTTCTCGAATATTCTTATATGAAACAACAGAGAACGGCAACTCGGGATTTAGACATGACTTTCAATCTATTTTAAATACTTAAACTTTTTAAAATAGAATAAAATCTCGTAGAAATAAGAATTGCACACCAAGTGAGTCATATAAAATATGCAAAATAGTTCGGAATATTATTAGTACTTTATAAATTCACATGCGTTTTTGAGAAATCGGAAATAGCGAAAATTATTACTTTCGGTCAACGAAAATTACTCAAAATTTTATAGAAGGCAGAGAATTAGATCTTTTACTTACATATGAAATTTCATTTATCCATCTGAAATAGTACTCAAGTTATAGGCTTTTGAAAAATTCAAAGTAGAAAAAGTTCCACTTCCGGTTATCGGAAATCGCTCAAAAGTTGATACGGATCTACGATTTTGATATAATACTCATATTTGAAATTTCATCATCCTAGCTGTAACGGTACTCAAGTTATCGTGTTTACACACACACACACACACAGACATACAGACAGAATTGGATAATCCAGTTTTTCCGACTCCATTACGCATAAAACGCCAACATTGTTATATATCTGGATTTATAATTTTTGCCCGATTAAAATAAATCCTCTACATTCCGGATGTGATGAAAGACTGAGGAGTTAAACGGTGAAAACTGTCCAAATTCAATGTGATTTTTGTGCACGATTACAAGACTTTCTCTATACTCAGAGGCGTAGCGATGGGGGGGGGGGGGGGGCAGGTGGGGACATATGTCCCCGGGCGCTGACCTTAGGGGACATCAAAGTGGGATGTAAAATCAAATAAAAATGTCAATTTAGCTGCCATTTTTGGAGTTTCAGGGGGGGGGGGTGCGAAATTAAAGTTTGAAGGGGGGGGGGGGTGCAAATCGAAAAGTTGAGGGAAGGGGGTGCAAATCGAAAAGTTGAGTGAGGGGATTGCAAATTGAAGATTTGGGGGCGCCAAATTGAAAGTTTGTCCCCGGGCGCCGAGAAGGAACGCTACGCCTCTGCCGATACTTGGTATATACGAGAAAGTAAAAAACAATTTTTGCTTACTATAGAATCAACTTTTACTTTATGTATAATTAGAAGTCACCCCTGTTGTTGTATTTAAATAACTTACTTATGTTTTGTTTTTGCTAGTTTCAGTTCGTCATGATAACGAAACAAAAAAATGCCCTTTTATTTAAATTACGGTATTATAGAAAATGTGTAGACAACTTAAAGGTCCTACTTTCTCACACACAACAGCAAATGCAGGATAAAACCAAAAGGGTTGCTAATTTGGCTACATGCCTGGGTCTTAACATCCACAGATGGAAAAGTAAAGATCTCAAAGTCAATGCATCAAACAGCAACCCTATAACATTGGCAGAAGAAGCCCTAGAAGAAGTGGATAGATTCACCTACCTTGGAAGTATGGTTGATAAGCAGGGTGGGACAGAAGCAGACATAAAAATAAGGACGGGCAAGGCAAAAGCAGTCTTCAAACAAATAAAAAATGTTTGGGGTTCTGGAGATTTAACCCTTTGAATAAAAATCCGGATCTTCAACACATTAGTAAAACCTGTTTTACTCTATGGAGCTGAGACATGAAGAATAACTGCTATAAATAAGAAGAAAATACAATCATTTATAAACGCATGCCTCAGAAAGATCCTGGCCTAAAACTATCAGAAATGATGTCCTATGGCAACCGACAAATCAACTGCCAGTTGAAGTAGAGTTCCTCCAGAGAAAATTGGAAATGGATTGGCCACACACTCAGAAAGCCTGTATCCAGCATAACAAGACAGGCCCTCACATGGAATCCACAAGGTAGGAGGAGGAGAGGCAGACCAAGAAAGACCTGGAGACGTGACCTGGAAGAAAATACCAAGAAGATTGGATACACCTGAGGACATTTGGAGAGACTAGCCCATGACAGAGACGACTGGAAAGCTTTTGTCAGCGGCCTATGTCCCAGTAGGGACGACAGGCAAACCTAACTAACCTAAAACATAACTCCTCGTTTATTAAGATATATGGAGAGTGTTGGGATAGGGTTAGGCTTAGTGTTTGTGATAGGGATATAAATATAAATAGCAATAAGAATAAGAATTTTTTAAAAAATATGTATATATGCGTATGCGAATGGTAATGCTAATGCGTATGTGTATGTGTCTGTGCCTGTATAAAGGTAAGTGTAAGTGTTAAGGTAAGGGTAAAAGTAAGGGTAACTGTTATGGTTACGATTACGGGGTTACGGTTATGGTGATGATTATTGTTATGGTAATGACTATTGTTATGGTTGTCGTTTCTGTAATTGTTAAGGTTTTCTATGGATCATGTTATAGAAATAGTTATGATTATGTTTATTGTAATAATTATGGTTGTGGCTAATGTTTTGGTTATTGTTAGATATAGAAATAAGAATAGCGATTAGTTATAGTGATAGTATTAGTTTTAGAGTTCTGATTACTCAGGTTGTAACTTACAGGGGCTAATCGATAACTGATTGGGTAGAGATCGTGTTAATTGATGGGGCAGGGAGGCACTATCATATGCCCGAAATTTTTTGTGTTTCTTGTTTATCTTTTTTTTTTTGATGCGCCAGCTAATTTAAATCGATGTTTGATAAACAGGTGTGACGTTATTCCCAAAATGTACAGCAACGCCGGCGGCAGCATCCCCTCGTCACAGCAAGTTGTTACAAGCGCGCTTTCGACACCACCAGCCGCAACACCGAACACCACATCGACAACATCTTCAGCAAACGACCCATGTGCAAATTACAAGTGCCCTCCGCGAACTGTCAAATATGTTAACAATGGCGGTGGTTGTGCTTGCCGCACGCAAAACGTCATACCACAAAATTAAATATAAAACAAATATTACAAAACCCTTAGAATAACAAGCTTTTAAATGCACTAAACATAAGAAAATTGAAACAAACTTGCTTTTTTTAATAAAAGCAGTTGACAAAATATCGTTGCTAAAATGTGTAAGATTTTCCATTAGCAACCGGTACATTTATTAAACAAAACAAGCTTTCTTCTATTTTTTTTTCAGTGCTTTTAAAAGCTTATTATAATAAAGGGTTTTTTTTGTTTTAATTTCTTCATTTTAGTAATTTGTTCACAATGAAGTCGACAACACCTACGACTAAACATATTTGCCGTAAAACCTTGCGACCTAATCCATAATCGATTATCATTTAAGTTTGTTATCTCCCCTTTTGTTTTTAAATTTTTAAATGACTATTCTAATGTCTAACTAAATTGGAAATAACCTATTCTTTCACTGTCGTAAGAGACGAATGTGTCCGGTAAGATCGAACGAAATATCTGCATTAAAATTGGTTAAATGAAATTACAAGAATTCTCACAAACCCATATACAATCAAACAACCAGACATTGTGAATTAAATAAAAGCTTTTATTTATAATAGTGTTTACAATATTTAATAAGTTGTGTTAAATTTTTTAAAAATGTATAGAATCGTTTTAATAACAAGCTTTTATGTAATACAAAGAAGAAAATAAATGATTTTCTTAAAATTTATTAGAATACACTACTATTTAAGTTACTATAAAGAAAAGAGTTGGTCTGTATTACCTATTGGATAACTTTTCTAATATTTAAGAAGAGACCCACGCTTTTCTTTATAGCGAAATATATATTTTACGAGCCGACCCGAGGTATACCATACACCGCTATTTACTTGTTTTATTTTCTACTTTTCAGTTATTCATAATTTGTAAATTCGACAGTACCAATGCTGCCACTGAAAATATTTGCTTTAAAACACTATCAGTAGGTCGTTAAGAATGATACTACCCCACCCTCCTTTCCCCAAACCCCTCCCCTACACCCCCTCCCCCGTGAAAGCAGCCTCCTCTTAGTTACCTCCCCTAACTTTAAAATAGTTTCAAACTAAATTATCTGCCACTAATAGCCGTCACTAAACCCGGCTCTACGATTGTAAACATTTAGCGTGAACCATTGCTCACCAGACCATGTAAGGGTGGGATGGTAGGGAGCGCGCTTACAGCTTGTTTTCTAGCGTTTTCAAGAAGAGAATTATATATATACGAGCCGGCCCGCGGCATAACATACGCCGCTATTTAGTTGTTTCTAATTTTCAATAATTCATAATTTGTGAATTCGACAGTACCAACGCTGACACTGAAAATATTTCTTTAAAACACTATAAGTAGCTCGTTAAGGACCATAACCCCCCCCCCCCTTCCTCCCCCCCTTCCCCCCCCCCCCCCCCTACGTTTAAAAGCGTTGGCTCTGCTTGTAAACATTTAGAGTGAACA